GGAGACAGAAACAAGCGCTGCGGGGCAAGGGGAGTAAAATTCATCTCTGAAAAACCATTAAAGAAAATCAGTTTCCTTTGCTTTTTATGCATCACGTCAATGTCATTGAGCAAGCTGGAGATTTGTCCTGCTACCCACAGAGCTGCTCTCTCATGAAAGCAGCGAGTCTATTTCAGAGTCAAACACATATCCGTGCTTAATATGCTGGCAGCATTTTTAACAGATGTCCTGTTGCCTAATATGAGGTAACTTCACTTGAGGCCTTTGTACTCACATTGGACAACTGACAAGATGTACTACATTGCACTTCAACCAGTGTCTGGCAGATGAACTCCTGCGCGATGCAAATAGGCCACAAAAATCAGGTCAGGGAGAATATAGCATGCCGTTTAAAATTAAACTGTGAAAGTTTTTTTTTTTTTGTCTTTCAACAGCTCAAAGTTCAAATGAGGAAGTTTGATGGGAAATGTGCGACTTAAATCCCGCTGTCGGGGAGATTATCATTAACACACATGCGTTGAGTTGCAACCCCTTGTTTTAGTTTCTAATCAGGGCTGCAAGGTATTGGAAAAAACTAACGTTGCGATTATTTTCAACCCTGCTATATACACTTTGATTTCACCAGATGACCTGAATAGCACTTTATGCTACGCTGCACTGCTGAAATCTTGTGGACAATTAACCTGCACTGATCTTACCTCTTTTTGTAAATGTGTGAATGCCTTCTGTCTGTCTTAGAGATATTTTTAGCTTTTATGGTGCTGGGACTTATTATCTCTCGTTGTGGCAACAGATGAAAGGCACTGCCGACACTGAACACATGTTTGGTCAACATCCTCCTTCTTGTAACTTAAATAATTTCGGATAACTGATGTTGCTTTTCTTTTTGAAGTCTTCTTTTCGGTGATTTTCTATTGTCCGTTGCTCATTTTGCAGTCGTCGTTGTTGTTACCGGTGTTGTGCCAGGAAACGCATGCCTGCCGAAAATTGCATGCACCTCCTGGAAACGCACACCGCTTATAGTAGAGTGGTCCACGGAAATGACAATTTAAAACCCATATAATTTATATTTGTGGGGCTAAACAGTCAGTGCGTTTACATGCACAGCTTAATTGGACAAAGCTCATAACTGTTTTTTTTTTTGCCGAATTGGACTTCTCTACTTGTTCGTGTATACATGCAGCTGAGAAAATTGAATTATTGATGTGAATTATTTGTTTACTTGACCACAGAATGTCTACTGTATATTGTACATTGTATATATCACATATTTATTGTTGTATTTAGTGTAATTTTGTTGACTTATTACCTTTTCTTTTGTTCTTTTACCCTGCTACTTGCACTGCGGGTCCGAGAGGACTGTAATTTCATACTGCTGGGCACTTTCGAGCAAGAAGATGGAGCATTGTACAGCGTTGTTTTTGTCTTAAATGATGTACGTGCTACTTTTTCTGCAGATGAGGTGCACACCACTCCTCTTCTCTGGTGTTTTTGTTCCGGGGTAACGGGAGCGTAGCGCATGCATTGTCCGATGATACTACATGGTTACATGGTAGAGAAAATCTAATTCAAATCCAACTAGAAAAGCACTGAGAGCGCAGACCTCCGCCAAGCAGCTCATGTCCCCCCTTATATTGTGATTCACAGCAAAACTTTTACTATTACGTGTCTTTTATTAACTTTTATTTGTGTTTAAACCGGTATGTTCACTGTTCATAATGTTCCTAAAACAAGAAATGCCCTGACCCGGATTCAAACCCAGGACCTTCTGGTTGTGAGGCAACAGTGCTAACCACTACACCACTGTGCCGCCTATCTACACCACTGTGCCGCCCATTGGTTATCTTTAAGCATTGAAAATTCCAACGACACCCTTATTTTTGTGTGTTCTGGATCACAGTATCCAGAATTTTGTCTGGATCACCACCACAGACAAATAAACAAACAAACAAAAAAACAAACCAACGCTACCGAAAACATAACCTCCTTGGTTGTCTCAATCAGAGGTCACAAACTTTTTTCGAGTGTCATGTAAACGTTCTTTGTGATGAATAATGTTCCGAAAGTAATCCTCAGCTGCGTTTCTCTGACTCTATGTGCAGGGGCGTGGTTTCCTCCTCTCTAATTCTGATTGACAGCTGGCAGGGTCGACTGCTTGGCACCCGAGTGCAAATGTGATTGGTGGATCGCTGTACAGCACATGCAGAGTCTACATACAGTGTATCCCAGTCAGCTACCCTTGAAATTAGATGAGTTCACTCGCCTCCTACATCGCAGGCTTTGCAATGCGACTATCACGCACACGTACACCGCGATGACGATGCTCAAAAGATATAAGGTACAGCCCCATTTCTCATCAGTTATTGAGGTTAAAAGGATCTGTGAAACATCCATTTCTATTTTTGTTGGCATCCCTTCATTAGTGGATTTTGTAAGATATTAAAAATGACACTTCTAGGTTAAAGTTTAAAGCGTCTGTCCTTCGCAGAGCTCTTGCCAATTTATATGGTAGCCGACAGCTTTATCACTGCTGTAAGTTGTCATGTAAGTTTGTAAAGTTTCTGTGTCTTTTGAACTCCTCAGTCTTTATGAATTATGCTGACACGCTCAAGGCTGAGAGTTCTAATGCCTCATGCTGAATTAGACGCGCAACATCTGCAGCTTCAAGACTTTCACAGAATCGGGGGCCTCTCGAGATTCCTCCTTTAAACTTGTGATGCTTTATGCATCTGGACAGATGAATTTTCCACGAGCTTCTCTTTCGCGTAAAACAGAAAGAAAAAGAAACTCCCCGCTACAGTTTTGAAAGTCCTCCATCATTATTCTGTCAGACACACATTTGTTTGATAATTCTTTTTGAGTCGGGGCCTCCTGTTTTTTGACGTGAAGGACCACAGAGACGCGCAGCGGGGACCTGCTGAGGTCTCCCTAAGGCTAGAAATCTGCAGATTTCAGCTCAAACAGCCTTCTCAGAACGCCAAAAATACAGGCGGGGGGAAAGTCCTTGAGAAGTTTAAACGACCTCAAAGTAATATAAATGCATCCAACTTTGAAAATGCTTAGCTTGTAGGTAAAACTGCGAAGGTTTAGGCTGGGACTGAGGATAAAATGAGCCTTTTTGCTGCGCGTTAACAAGTTTCTCCCCATGGAGACCAGGTGGATGGTTAGCATTTGCAAATAATTGACTGCATTCAGACTGGCCTTTTTTTCTCTTTTAACACACCCTAAGGTCACAGAGGGACAGCGAGTAATCATATTACATTCAGCTTCATCATCCTGCAGCAAAATGAGCATGCATGTGTGAGCGTCTGTGTGTGTGTGGCACCTGCTGCTGCTGTGGACTGCTAATGAGAAGCTGCCGAAAGAAGAAGACCCTCTATTGTTCTGAGGAGTCAATAGGATACCTATCAAAAAAGGTGCGCTATCTGTAATATGAGGCTGATTAGTTTGAATGAGATAACAGGAATTGAAATGGATGGAATAGAACAAAAGGACAGGAAGGAAGCGAGGAGACAGATTGAGCGCAGTCTGATAAAGCCAAGAGAACATCTGCTGATGCCTAATCACGCCGATCTCTAGCCTTGCACGGTGTCTTCACTGTTTTCTCGCCGTTTTCTTTTTTATCAGGGGAAGTGCTTCACTGAGCGTGCAAGCAGCAATTTTTTTTTTACTACTGCCTCACATTCATACATAAATAAATGTTCAGCTGCTGTACGTGGCGGAGCAGCTGCACTAGAGAAAAATAGGGTCAAAGTGCAAGTGCCGGTTATGAGGTGAATGGAAGAGTACTTCTTTCCCACGTTGTCCCCTCTTGTTCGAAGGTTTTCCCTCCAGTCCTATTTATTCAAGGCTTCTGCAGTAATCAAAGATTCAATGCCTCAGCCTCTCCCGCATGCCATCATCCCACTTCAGAGTCTCTCCGTGAAAAGATGCATCAGCAGACAAGGACTCATCCGGGCCTAAAGAGGAAGAATCTCACATTGTGGAGAAATCTCCTCTTTGCACTTGAATCCCACAGCCGCGCTGAACTTTTTAGTGAAGGTGACTGTAATAAGCCGAATGGGCTGGCGGGATTTCAGTGTGGCATTTAAGGGGAGCTGAACTGGAGTTGAACTTCATCGGGTGAAGTGTAGCATTTTACCTCGGGAGGCGGCGAACAGCTTGCTTTGTTTTGAATGAGGAGAGTGAATTAAACAGGCCTAGGTTAGTATACTGAGCTAATGTCAAGGAGACTAAAAAGTCAATTTTGGTATTTGATTTTAAAGTTAAATGCATCTTATTTAGAATTTCCCCCCACAGATAAAACCCATTCATGGGTGTTTTTACCCCCCTCTGTAGTCTTCTTCTTCTTCCCTTCCTGGTGCGGCCGTTACGACTCTGTAATGTTCTGCTGGGAGATTATGATGCAACAGAGTCACTCAGTCATGAAACAGCGTTCTCAGAGTAATCTAGTGCTGTCACACCTCTGTCTCATACTCTGGATAAATTTGACAAAAACCCATGAACAATGTCGAGCCCAAGGCTGCGATCTGATTGGTTCTTTACATGTCTTAGAAACAACACCTCATCTTTATTTATGCTTTACTAATGATAGATTGGATAAGAAAGGGTAATGATGTGTTTGCCCACAGGCAGCTGTGAAGTATTAAACCTGTTTTTGCTGCCTGAGGTCTATTCCATAAATGTGATAAATCTAGGCTTGTACTAATACACAGGTGAGATGCTGCTTATATACCTACAGTCTTATGACAGAGCCTGTCTCGATAAATACAAGGATCGGCATATTATCTTTAGATCTAAAGGTCCTTACAAACCGGGGCGGACGCGAATATAGAACGCAAAATTACAATCATTCTTGCCCAATGCGATTTTGCTACTTTCCGATTGTGTGGGGGGAAAGACGCATTCCGGGGAAGACTTTTCCTGGGGAAAGTCTTGCCTCCTTCGCCTCTGATTGGCTAGAGAAGCTGGAAACGTCATCACATGCTCGAGCCAAATGGTCAGCACTTATGGCCAATCAGAGGCGAAGGAGGGCGGGGCCTTCCCTTACCATCCTGCAGTGTCCTGGGTTGAAGCAAGAAGACAAAAATGGAGTCTACTTCGCGTACCACGGTCGCTTCAGAACCTATTTTTCGGATGTCCGTTTGACAATTTGAAGTTCTGCTGAAACAATTAGCTCCAAGTTTGAAGAGGCAGAGGACTAGACACTAGACACTAGTGTTGAGATGGCTTTCTGTCATGATAGCATGTACTGAGTCAGGGCCAGTACCAGATAAGCACATGAAACTATGGTTATTTTACAAACTCCAAGACCAAGAACAGACATTTCATCTTGAAAGGCAAGTTATGATAATAAAAGAATCGAGAACAGGCTGAATAGGTGTACAGTACGCTAATGTAGCACGTTGATGATTATTCAGCTACATGAAGCATAAACAATGAACTCAATAGGTGTCTGGTATGTTAAGGTAACATTTTAACAGTTATTCAGATAACTACAGTATAAAGAACAGAACAAAACAAGTTTACCGAACTCTCGATCTTACTCCAAATCATTAAATCCATCGAATTTCTCATCCTCTGTGTCACTTCTGAACAACTGGAGTGCCCTCTAGCAGCTGTCAGTGTGAAAATAACAAACGTGATATTTTAATATATATAAGTCGCACCTAAGTATAAGTCCTAAACCAAACCAAACTATGAAACAAGCGCGACTTTTAGTCTGGAAAATACAGTTTATATTAAACCATTGACTAAAATACAGATACAGCACCAATGTGTCAAAAAAGACTTGATTTTGTTGTGTTTTATATTAGGGATGAAATCATTACTAGCATAAAATTTATTACAAGTAATTTCCCAGCGGTAATTAAATCTAGTCCATGCAAAGATGTGTTTTGAAAGACTTATATTTTCATACAAAATCAGAAATATAACGTTCCATGGGATGTGTCAGGTTAATGGGATCCTGAAACAATACAGAAACAATACAATGGTTCTTGGCTGACTGTAGTTACCGGTATTTTTCTACAGTTTTTGCTCTTAGTCTATGTGGAAGTGCAGGGAACGATGGTCGGACATTTTGGGTTTTATGCTTTGGTAAGTTTGTGGATTTTGAACCTTAAAAATCCAGCGTAGCCCCTTATTTATGCCTCCAAGCCTCAAGTGAAGGATACTGCTCGTATCTGCTTATTTCAGGAGGCCGGATTTCCCTAAAGCAAGCGCAACCTTGAGAATGGAAAAGCACTAAAGGGAACACAGCAGATTGGAATAATTACAGACAACAACATCTCTCAAAACCTCAGTTAGACCTACTGGGATAAGCATCACCATGGCCACTGCAACCACTTTAAAAGATAGGGAAAGGGTTCAAAAAGCTAAGATAATAAGGCTAGGTCTTTGAGTGTGGCACTCAACCGCCTACTTTTCGCTAATGCACTGTAAGAACTACTTGCTATTTGAAGGTTCCCTGAATCCCATTGGTCTAGTTATGTTGATAATATGAGGGTAAGGTACTCGGGAATGTATTGCACCAATGAGGGTCCTTAGCATATACAGTACGTATAATTATAGGTAAGTGTGGGAGGAATTTCAAGAGTTTAAGCAAGCCCCACTAATTCAGCTGCAAAAAAAGAGTTTCTGAAGGCAGGAAAGGCTTCATTTAATCCATTATGTGGTTTTGGGTTTGTGATATTGTTTGTTTTTATATTTGTCTTCTTTTTTTTTTTCCAGAGTTAATGGGCTGCCAGACTTTTGGGATTTCTAAATAATGGACTGGAGGAACAATGGCATGGCGCTTGTCCAGTCCCAGGAAAGCAGAACGAATGAAATGAAAATCAGACAGTTTCTTTCTCACATATTACAGAAACCAGACTGTTTTCTCAAAGTTGTGTAACCTACCAATCAACATTGGTTGTAATCAATGAGCTATGATACTTTTTTTTTTTTCCAATGTGAAAAAGTCTGTTCCTAATAGAAAAACACTTGGGATTCAGAAACGTCTCCTCATTTCCAGACTAGCCGTTAAAAAGTTCTCGGCTGAAGAACATTCTGCTCTTTCAATGTCAAGGCCAGGACAGATTTTAAAATTTAACACAATGTCAAAGCAAAGACAGACATAAAATATTCAGCGCAAGTTAGACTAATGCTTGCTTGCTTGTACCGCAGAAGTCTGTAATCTTTCTGCCCTTGGAATTTCGGTGGAAATGTGTCACAAGTGTGGAAATACCTGAGGGACGGAGAGAAAAATGAGAAAGGGGACATGTCCATTTTCAACTGCCTGGGCTATAAATGCAAAATAGGGTGACCTACACAGTCATGAGAAGTTGTGTGTGGAGTATGTCAAGGTAGGAGTGTTGCTTGAGGGTGTGATAGACACTTGTAGATGGAGAAGACTGCTCTAGAAAGTTTGTGTAGGATGTCAGGAGATCAGACTTTTAACTCATTCCAAAAAAGTAACATAATAATGATAGTGTTAATGTATCATAGAAATTGAGGAAAGCCACAATCCCCTAAAACTCAGAAATTGGCAATTCTTTAGATACTGTCAACAGCTCAGCTATCTTGTTTCTTCTACAGCAAATTCATGCTTCTATTTTGAAATGACCAACACACTACTTCTGGTTTATTAAAAGTTACAAAGATAACTAAAAAAAAGGCAATAATGTTCGATTTGTTGGTGTTCTGATTGTTATGCGCCAGTTTTAGAGTAACTGATTGGTTTTTAGAGAAATACTAATGCTAGCTAGTTAGCTAGCTTGGTAGTGGATGCTTCCTCTTCTACTTCTGGTTTATCAAAAGCCTACATAAAAAATAAAAAGACAGCATTAATGATCGATTTGTTGGTGTTTAAATTGTTATACACTAGTTTTAAGGTAACTGATTGGTTTTCAGAGGGATGCTACAGCTAGCTAGTTAGCTAGCATGGTAGTGGATGCTTCTTCTACTTCTGGTTTATCAAAAGTTACATGAAAAAAACTAAAAAAACAGCATTAATAATCGATTTGTTGGTGTTTCATTGTTGTACACAAGTTTTAAAGTAACTGATTGGTTTTCAGAGGGATGCTAAAGGTAGCTCGTTAGCTAGCTTGGTAGTGGATGCTTCTTCTTCTACTTCTGGTTTATCAAACCAGAAGTATTTACAGAAATAACTAAAAAGAAAGCATTAATAACTGATTCGTTGGTGTTTTAATCATCAACACTAGTTTTTAGAGTAACTGATTGGTTTTAAGAGGGATGCAAATACTATCTCGTTAGCTAGCTTGGTAGTGGATGCTTCTATTTCTACTTCTGGTTTATCAAAAGCTACATTAAAAATAAAGAGACAGCATTGAGGGATGCAAATACTATCTCGTTAGCTAGCTTGGTAGTGGATGCTTCTATTTCTACTTCTGGTTTATCAAAAGCTACATTAAAAATAAAGAGACAGCATTAATGTTCAATTTGTTGGTGTTTTAATTGTTATACACTGGTTTTAAAGTTACTGATTGGTTTTCAGAGGGATGCTACAGCTAACTAGTTAGCTAGCTTGGTAGTGGATGCTTCCTCTTCATTGTCTCTCCATTCAATGGTGGGTGGTAACCAATGTAAAGAACCATATAAAGGTCACAGTCATTGTCCAACACAATCCCTATTATTACATTATTGCATTGTGTTGGGTATTTTAAAAAAGGCAAAAGGAGAAAGATTTTTTTCTCTCTGGGATATGACCACTCTTGAATTTATTGTCCCAGTGGAGGTGGGTGTTGAAGAGGCCTCAAACAACAAAAATGCTGCCACGCAGTTTTGTATTCTGGAGAGGAAAAGTAGCTGGTGTCCCTCTGTCTACTTTCCAGTGCCTCCCTATGGAGTTTAATTTCCCAGCCTACTTGCTGCATGGGCTGCCTGGCAAGCTGAAGATTTAAGAGTGGGTGGGACAACATTCCTCTTCTTATTCTGCCTCCACCTAGCGTAGGAAGTTACAAAGTATGCAAGTGGCCTTCACCCTTGCTTTGATTACTTTTGGAAAGGCACCAAGGACTTTGGTGGATCTGCAACGACTTGGCACAAACAAGCATATTCCTGCCCCTTGGTGTTGTTACACCTCCACATTTGCTGAAGCACAATTTCACCCCAGATTGGCGGATCTAATTGAGAAGGAACAGCCATCTGAGTTACCCACCAGTTTCAGCTGGATAACAGTAAAGTGACGCACATTATAAAGCTAGTGGACCTAGTCACCTATTTCTGTCTATCAAAGTAGGACAGGACCTTGAGGATGATTCATACTTTCTAGGCAACTCTTGAAACATGTTGATTTCTATGAATCTTCCAATGACGGGTGCCTGAAAGCATATAACAAACTATTACTGTGGGTCGATAACCCAACATTAAATAACTTGACCAAAGTGCGCCACACAGGCTACTTTAGCAAATTGGGATACTCCTTCAGCCTGATGGCCTGCCAGCATTTGTGTCTCTGATACAGATGGTCCAATTTTTCAGACCAACTCTTCACACTGTGTCTGGCTGAAATGAAAGCACTCCCTGACCTTGAGCTCTTGAATCAAATGATGGTACTTGTCGAGATGTTTCCTTGCCCTAAAAAACAGACGAATCCCACAGAGACTGAAGGGTTTCTCCTCCACTCGTGTGTGTATTCGCCCTCCCTGCATGCAGACAAAGAGCCAGGCTGAGAGCCATCCTTTTTGGCAACACTTTTACCTTTTATGAGTATACCGTAGCTGGGAGAAGAGTGTACCAACTGGAGACAGCTTTTACTACGTGGTATATAGTTCCCGCTTGGAGGGGGAATGGACACTCATAAAATGTATTAAATAGTTCAACCCCAATTCCAAAAAAAGTGAGTCTGCTGTATATCTGAATCATTTATATGGATTCCTCTCAGAATTCAGTTCTAACCTGTATTTCTGAATGTTTCAACCAACTGGACTCTCAAATAATGTATTCTGGAAGTCAATTTGAGCCCAATGCAGTGATTTCCACTACAGAGTCATGTCTGTTTTCAATGTACAGCCATCTGAGAGTCCAAAGAGCATGGCAATCTAGTGTATTTTGTCAGCCTTGTCCATTTTGTACAGCGATTTCTCCAGATTCAAATCATATTTGCACTTTTGCTGCAATTTTACCTTGATGGACATGAAATTGAGGAACTATTTACTCTTGGAGTCTCTGACACTTTCTTCTTGAGAGATTAAGCCTCTTATTTAAAGTGATGTTAGTTGCAAATTAAAATACTCAGATGTGAGACGTTCCTCCTCCTCTTCATTTTTCTCAGTTTTTTTGTTATAACCTCAACTATTTGTGTAAAGAAACAGGCGTGTTTTTGCAGCAGGTATACAGGATGACTGCAGTCATTGTCAGCGTATCTTTAAAAGGTTTACATTGGTTCCCAAGATAGCTCTATCCATTCTTGTAAAATTGCTTGCCTGTAATTTTACATCATCTCTTGTGTGTGTCTACCTCATGTAAGCCATTCAGAAAAGCAGAGAAACTGCTGGAGGTAGTAGCACTTTTTTTTTCTGTCAGCTACAGCACCTTAGGGATATCATGTTCCCTGGTACATCCACTGCAGTACATACTTTATTAACTCCTAAAAATTCAATGTGGCTCGTTTTTCTTCACCATTCCTGCTTGTCTGACACCTGTGGTGATTTCTTTTTCTCTGTGTTTCTTATGCAAGTGCTTTCAAATTAAGGTTTCCATCAGCTGACAAAAGTAGCTTAGCTGTAAAAAGTTCTATAAGAAATAACCAGGTTGTTACTTTTCTTACAACCATCTGTTGTGTGGCTTTTTTTCCTGGATGTGACACTATTTTTGATTGAGTATCGTTTATAAAGGTGGGCATTTTTTAAAAAGCACCAATTCACAGTATGTGATTTATTGCTGCTAATGTTTCACTGTCATAGAGCCTTAAAGAAGACTAATGATGACCCCTTAGTACTATCAACACATCACAGGAACTCTAGCACTTTTGAGGACAGGACATTTTTGGTGTATCAGGTCTTTTCCATACTGCAGTTTCCCTTGGCAATTCGTGACAGCACCTATAATACATCACCCGTGGTGCTCTGCATGATGTTTGAGAGTTTCGTGGGAGCTCTGTGGAGGGAACTTTATTGTGGAAATTACTTCATAGGCTCAAAAACACACTCAAAACCCATTGTTTGTGGGCGCACTTTGTGCCAGTCTAAACAAAAGGAGGATATAACCAAGGCCTTTTAAGGGAAGCTTTGCTCTACAAAGGAGGAAGACCACCTGGCTTATCTGCTCACTCTTCAAAAGCCAGCATCCCTGATGGTATAGGGATTCTTAGGAGAACTTTGCATTGCTAGTTTACACATCTGGGAAGGTACAAATAATACAGAAAAATATGTTTAGCTTGACTTAGGTGAAGGTAGGTTAAATCGAGCTAAAGCTATCACTCTATTGGGCAATTTAACTGGACTACTGTCCAAGTTTACAAGCACTGGGCAAGAATTGAACCATTAACGGAGGTATGTCCGCCTACTGTAGGTGGCCCCATGCCTTCCTTCTGCTCATTACTGCCAACTCATCTCCAAGTTGACCATTTGAGTAACCAAACAATAGATAAAATATATTAGCATATGACCAACGGTAAAAACACCATCACCTTCACAGCTCTGTACTGTAAAATTTTACAGTAAGACCACATTTTATATCATTAACTTTAAGTTTTTTGGCATTTATCTCTTCTAGTTTAAATGACAGGATTGTCTTCATTGAGCTATTTTGATGCTCTTTTTTTAGTATCTTTTACTGTTGTTTTTATTTCATTTCCTTTTATTTATTATTTCTTAAATTTCATTCTATGCTACTTTGTTTTCAGTTTTGTTTTCAAACTCAAGCCCTTTTTAAGTTTATGCATTTTAATACTGTTTCTGATGCATTTAGATCATGGGGTGGGAATGAGGGGTTGGGCTTGGGTAGATTTGGGTATTCTTTTAATCTTGGGTTGGGGTAGATTTGGGTAATCTTTGTTTCCTTTTTTTCCCTCCTTTTTCTGTATAAAGCATTTTGTGCTATATGGTTGTGTATGAAAAGTTCTATATAAATAAAGACTGATTAATTGATTGATTGATTTTTTCTCTTTTTTACATCATTTCTTAGGCAGGCCAAGAACTGGCGTGCTCACTCCGGAGCATACACAGCACACTTGGTCCAGTTTCAGTTTAATAGAGCCATACAAATTAGAGAAAATCAATCTCAAATACATGATCTAGGTGTGTAAGTATGACAATGAGAAGTTCGGTTTAGTGCAATTTCAGTATTTTAATGTAAATAACCTTATAAAGTCATAGTCCTTAAAAAGGTAAATATCTGAGTGTTTTTGTCAGTTTGTCAAATCAAATATCCAAAACATGCAAAAAATGATTTTGCATAAATTGGTTTACACGCTTGAAACAACCTGTCAATGCAAAACCTGTCCCCATATGTTCACAGCTACATCCTGGCACTAAAATGCGCCACTTGGCAAGTTCAAGCGCTGACATGATGTGGGTAACAGCCCCCTGTTTCTGGATGTTCTGCCCGTGGTTTGGTGTTGAGGGGAAAAAAATTGAAATATGTGTAATATGTTCAGTGTGTGAGAGAGGGGGAGAAAGAGTGTGTGTGTGTGTGTGTGTGTGTGTGTGTGCAGTTCGAAGCATTCGCAGTGCCAGGTTTCCGCTGTGCCAATCTGTAGCAGCCATGGAGCATCCTGGACTTGCTCAGCCATCAATCAGTCGCCTGCCATGGCTGAGTGCTTACAGGACTGCGCCACACCCGTGCACGTACACACACACCCACACACACACACACTCATGAGCTCAAACAAACCTCTGACAGCCCTCAGCTCGCAGAAAAACCAAGGCCACCCGCTACTTTATTAAAAGGCTACAGCTGTTGTGTACGAGAGCACGGAGCAGAAAGGATTTTCACTCCACAGATTTCAACACAGACAACAGGTCGTGTTGCTTTGTCATTTTTTCAGTTTCTTTGCTTGTCGTACTCTGCTGATAGCAATCTGGAGAACATAAATTCTCCATTTCACAAGTTCATAGCACATTAATTTTATTTCTCTGTGATGCCAGCGACTCCATCGACTGATAAGAGCTTAATAAGATCAGTGAGAACCTGCCACGGCTGCCTGCTGTTGTGTACAGAGATATATGCAGACTTAAAGAGCATTAACATTTTACAGATGAATATTTATAAAAAAATAGCTCATTTATAACACCTATAATCCACGCAATAATGCGCAACACCACCACAATCCAGGTGTCTCCATACTTGGGTACAACACGTCTACAACCGCAGATGGTAGTCGGTGGTAAATAGATTTACAGCGTGTTTTATTGTACCTTGTTTGATAAGAGAGGGGCAGTTTTGAAATATGCATCATGGTTGAGGGCTCCAGGAAACCCTCGATTCTCAGAGTCGGCCGGTCTTCATGAATCGGCTGCAGCTTCAAATGGAGCCCTTATGTTCTGACGGCGCAGCTTAGGGGTCAATTGGAACTGTAGGTGGTGGGAGATCAAAGCCGCATGGGTGGGCTGCGGAGGTGATATATTACGCCGCTGCTGGGTATTTCCAGAAATGCGGAATAAAGGGTCAGTGTTTTTTTTTCTTTTTTTTTTTTTCTTATTGGGTGGCGCCACTGGGGGTCTTTGAACACAGCGCTCATCCCATGGAGAGATTTTAATGGTGTGGTCTGCTCAGAAATGCAAGAGTCGTTCCCCACCTTTATTGGATATGCATGAAAATCATAAACCATTATTTTTCTATCAACCAAGATGAAGAAATGAACACTGGAGAATATACTTCACACTGATTTTTCCTTCACTGCCCTTTGCGATGTTCTCCCCAGTGCACGGCTAGAAACTGTATCTCAGGGGTATTGTTCGGCATTCACTCCGATGATTTACCAAAGCAAATACACTGGGTGCTTACAAGCTCGCGGTTAATCATATGAATGCTTTAAATATCATGAACATAGCATGAGACAGGATGCATAAATAATATGACACCATCAAGGAGATTGCTTATCTATAATGCATGGTTTTGTACACTTCACATCCAGTTGGCCACTATTGTTGTCATTTATGACACAGATCAGTAGACAAGTGGAAATTCACTGCTGTATATACAATGCTGTAAATATCAACTGTAATGTATGCACTCTGTTTAAACATCAACATGAGTGGGGATGCATTCAAAGTAAAGTCTGGATGGCACAAAGGTCCAGCCACACTTCAAAAATAGAGACACAGGGAGGACATGTTGTTTTCATCCGCTTATAGTTTAACTGACAGAGCGAAGATGCGTCTTATGTTTTTGCCTGAATATGACTCACTTCTGTTCTGACTAAAGCATCTATTTAATACACGCCAGGCTATTAAGTGTATAATTGAAGGGGGAAGGGTCTTAAACCAATACAAGACAGCTCTTAGGCAGCAATGCACTAAAAAGAGGCATGACTCTGTAGTGGAAGTCACTGCATAGGCTCAAAATCACACCCAAAGAGCGCTCAAGAATTAGCAGTGACTTCTCTGGGCCTAGAGTCATTTCAGACGGGCTAATGCAAAGTACAACCCTGACAAATTTGACACTCTTTTTTTGAAATCATGGAAACTATATTAGTGCTGTGTCGTTTTGTTCAAAAGAACGGAACTGCTGAGTGAACGACGTGAATGGAATCACTCAGAAAACCTGATTTGTGCCTTTCTCAAGCGAGCGGGCTGGCGGGTGGAGTCTCGTGATTTGCTCACAGCGAATGAACGACATGTATCAGTCAGACTGTGAACGAAACGAACGACTTCCAAATGACTTGAGGCAGGCAGGGGATGGAGGGGGGGGCAACCGCCATTCTGACATCCCGCCATCTCTAATTGTCGGAGTGGCGGTATGTTACCATGCTATCAAATGTCCTGTTATTCCAACAGCTCTCGTCTGCTATGGTCGGCTGCGGAGCCCTCTGGTCGGAATGCTGAGATGTTGGAGTGGCAGCATGTAACCGGATGGAGGGGTGTAGCGTCGTTCACTTACTGCTGTGCACTGGTTTGTTCACTAAGGCTAAGCTAAAACAGTGCATCAAAGTGCCTTTACATTAAAACACGTGTATAAACTTTCCTGCAAAAAGGAATTCATTTCAGACGATTTAACGCAATACACTATTTGATATCTCTAAAACTAGCAGAATCCCCGCTACAGCTGTGATTTTTTATTCTCAATCTCTCCACTTTTCCGGGATATAAAAGAACGACGACTTGGGCTCCTTTAGCGTGCGTGCTGCTGTGTTGTTTCCACCAATGGCGATACACAGAGTGGTGAGTTTTCATACTTGGCGAATGAACGACATGTGTCACCCAGTGCTGTGACTTCAGCAGCAGGGGAAGGGAGGGGCTCATTCAATGAACGAACTCGCTGCTGTGTCACTCACTGGTCTACTGCACCGGCAGGATGGGGCCCCGAAGCACTGACTGATTCGGTGAACGAATCTTCGTTTCATTTAAGGGATTCCAAAGATTCAGTACAGTCAAAAGAACTGTTCTCCCCATCGCTAAACTATATTCATGATTTGATATCAAGCAGAACTGGGAAAACATTTCACTTGGAGAACTCCAAAAACAGGTCCCCTTGAGCCCCCTAATGTAGGACTTGTCAATCATAAATCAAACCATTTATGGACCGAGATCAAACAGAAGTCCATGAAGCTTGATTCTCCATTCAGACTTTTTCACACGCCTTCATTTAACCTACATTCTGTAGCTTATAAACACTACTTCATTAGCACTGTGTGTTGAATATCTCTAGAGTTCTGTCTGATGTAACCATGTGGGCTGAAAACCTCATTAATAACAGGATCTACGCGCCTTCGGGGCTTATGTGGGGGGTGTTAAAATATACAGAAATCTAAAAAAAACAACTGTGGTATAGATGAGAACATGATATGTGGTTATGGCAAGTTAAATTAGTCAATAAACACATATATCTGGAAGAGGCCACCTCCTGTTATGTTGCTTATGGAACCAGATGTGTCCAAGTAGATCAGTTCAGTTTTGTTATTTAGTTTAAGGGACTTTTTGGAAATAAAACAGATTTTTTGGGCACAGTTGGGGACTGAAAACTGGAGCGAAATCCTACCATACAATCCAGGCAAAAGATTACTGGCGGAGTAAACCATAAGCTTCAGTGGTAAAACCAACAGTTGTTACATTTGCCTAATTTATGGTTAAAATTATATTTCCCACAAAGCTCCAAAAGAAGGAGCTGTATTTTTCTTCATGTAGCCTCCTTTGCATAATCATTTATTCACTATGCATTATGCATTGCATCGATCGCTATTATTATGGGTGCAAAGGGAAATATAGCTGGGTGATATCTGCATAACAGCAGTGATGCATATTGTAGTTACTGAATATTCCACCAAGGAGAAGAATGTAAATGGAAAACAACAATGGGCCTAAAATTGACCCCTGAGGAACACCTCGGCTGAAACATTTGATACAGAATTTCTATTTTTTCATCTGAAGCTACTTAAAGGTGGGGTAGGCAGGATCTGAGGAAGTGCCGGTTTTTAGGGCAAAACTGGTTGGGAGGGGTAGTGTTTACATTCAAGATTTCTCCCCAGCTCCTCCCCTCCGTATCTGCTCCAGCAAGCCCCGCCCACAAACAGACACTCCTGCTCGCTCGTATCGTTCCAATTAAATTCAGATATAATGCAGATAAATACTTTAGATAATTACAAATGGGGCCCAGTCAACGTGAAAGTAAAAAGCATTGGTGCTACTGTAGATGCCAACAGACTACCAGCAAACACAATGTTTGCAAGACTTCTACAACTAGGATAAAGTGACATAGTCCAGGACCCGAGGTAAACAGTTTAGCGGCGCTACAACACGCAACAGGCCCTGTTTGACAAGAAACACTTCTGTTACAGACACTTGACTTACTTTGTTAAAGCGGTTTACCTGTCCAGCAGAAAGGTTACAGGGTCTGTAAGATCCCGAAGTGTCCCCTATTGTTTATGCTATGTTGACCCGGCTTTGTAGTTCTTGCCCGGATTTTTAAGCACCTGTTATTCTGCCAGAGTCTCCAGTATTAACTTTGTTTTCTTGCTTGTGTCGGCAGTCGTGGCCAAAGGAGGATTCAGACAATTTTCTGTACTTTCTGGTTGGTTTCTACTGTCTGATTTTGTAGCACGCTAACTTTGTTTGGGCTTGTGAATGACTCAGGGGAGCAGCGTCCGCCTCACAACCAATCGGGTTAAGGGAGGCGGAGAATGGCTTTGTTAATAGTTAGAAAGAGCGGACCGCTAATAAATTTAAAATGTTGACTACACAGACATAACGAAACACAGCGATATTGTTATATAACCAAATGTCATCAATAACTAATAGCTATTGACTGATATTAAAAGCTTTTTGTTTATACACCACAAAAGAGATGCTTCTTTAATGGAATCCTGCCTACCCCACCTTTAAAACCTACATGGTTGCTTCACTACAATTACTTAAGATATTTGGCACATAAACCTGTTTTCATTCTTTTATCTTCAACTGAAAATGCAGCTGCTAGCATAAGCTTGGCAGGTTCAGATCCCCTCACTATGAGTTGAGTTACTGCATACATTAGCTAGCTCACATTCTACTAACTTTAATCCTGTGAAGATTTTTGATCAATACAAATGCAAAAAAAGCAGTAAAATGGGAAGTGCAGGAACTGGCCTTTAAAGAATACAGATCTGTATGTTCAGTGGATGTTGTTACTTACTCTCCCTGTTTCCTAGAATGCGCTCCTCCATTCCCAGGATAATGTGGTACAATAATCTTTATGTCAGCCGCTTCTCAGCATGTATCTTCAAAAGCTACAGAATTGCATCTGACTGCGTGAAAACATGTTGCATAAATGCATGTGCTCATCGAGTATGGCGTGGAGAATGAGAAGTAAATATTTCAGGAGCTTCACACCACTGCTCCCAGTCAAAGTTCGCACGCTTACATGACTTGCATGAATTTTTTAGGCAAGAGCAGCACAAATTACACAAAAAATAAAGCCTATAATTCAATGTACAAATCACGAAGCGTTAGAGAGCCAACTGAGCCATGGGGCTTTAAACACAATATCAAGCCGGTGCAGAGCTGCAGAGCGGTTGTTTACCAGCAACAAATGCTGTAAATTCAGGTCAGATCTCAAACAGATTTATATTCTCTCTCTCTTTTTCTCTCTCTATAGGCACAAAGTCACCCCCTCCCATGGGAGCCACAGGTGTTGGCAGTGATGGCGATGAAATGAGTTCTCACTGAATGAGGGGTTCAGCCTCAGTTTGAACCTTTCAGCTTGGCAGGAGACCACAATGCTCCCTGCATTCTTTGTTTTCTATCTCTTTACCCCATCTCTCTTTTCTCTCTCGCCATTGTTCTTGTCCTTTTTTCCCCTCAGTTTGTCTTTTTTCTGTCTCCCTCTGTACTTTTTTTTTTAAAAACCCAACGACAGCAGAAAAGCTCTAAGTGAGATTTTCTGCAAATAATACACACTTGTGTCGTCGTCGGCTGTTTCAGTTACGTGCTCCTCTTGTCACTTTGCGTGCCGCGCTTGTGTTGAAGAAGAAGTGAAACGCTAACAGATATTCATTTAATCCTCTGCTTGGAACATCATGCGCACATGAAGCTGGGGTTTTTGCATCTTATGTGTCATCCTGTTAGTCATAACAGAGATTTCAAATTCAGTGTTGGTCTATTTATTGCATGATAAACTGGTGAAAAACAAGAGTCCTGCAGGAAAATAGGCAGCGAATCTGCAGCTACTGCATGCGCAAGAGTGTTAGACAGTATGAAGCTAATTAAGAAAACCGATACAGGGTGCAACCTGCATGTTGAGCCACATAATTATTCAATTGAGTATTTAATCTGAGAGATTAGCAGTGTGCGCCTTGTTACAGCAAGAACTGCGAGCATAAAAGTGGGTCAGTTACACCAAGAGGAAAGGGGGGTAACACCTTTTCATCTTATTTTCGTCACTCAAATCAGCCGCGTAATAATCACAGAGACTTTTGACATTGGAAACAATCAGAAGGGTAACGCACTTACACTCTTTTCACAACCAGTGTAATTGATTTCATGTATCTGGGAACATCAAAGCAGGGTTGTTTCAAGTCGAGGACCTTCTTCACGCTTTTTGATCCCCCCTGTTTTTCCGTTTTCATTATTGGCCAAGCAGCACTAACCCATATTTATGGATGAGCGTATTCAACAAATCCAACCTCTTCTAATTACAAGGAATAAAAGGCAGTTCTATTTTGGATTAAAGCCTGCTGACAGAGTTTGCTCCCACGAAACAAGCTCCACATTGCCTCTTTTATTGCTACTACAACCAAATGACTTCATTTTTACTACAAAAGTACTTAAACATGCACGCAGATACAGCTGAAAATGCACAAAAGTAATCTTTTGGGGGGGGGCTTGATGGCGAATGTAGGACAAATAAAACAGAAAAGCATATCCAGGTCTCACACATGGACAAAAATAAACACACAGGCTGTCTTCATGCCAGCATATTGCAGGTCTGGGCTCGCCTCGGCGGAGGGCAAGCAGACAGACGCAGGGGTCACCGCCTCACAGCTTGCAATGGGGCTAATTGATGCCCAGCAGCTTCGGGGAAGTAAACAGACTCACGACAATGTCTTCATTTCGCTCTTTGCTGTTGTGCACTTCCATGACTGCAATAATGCAAGCAGAGATGTCAGCTTCGATCTGCAAGCCAAAAGTCGTTGTATTCAGGAAGGCTGTTTCCAAATTGCAAGTGGTAATAAGCCTCCCTGCAGAACTGTAAACTAATCGTGATGTGTGCGCTTCCTCTGAGCTGTACAATTTGACTTGTTTTTCTATCCTAACAAGAATAAAAAGAAACTTGCTCTGAGGAAAGTTAGTGAAGAGGTCGGGTTGTCTGGGAAGTTTTAAAAACACATCTTCAACCATGTTTGGTGAAAACAGACCGAAATGGCGTGAGGGAAACTCACCCTGCCTTGCAAAAATTTGCATGTTAAAGGGATATTCCGGAGTAAAATTAATTTAGGGTCAAACACACTGTAACACCGAGTCATCAAATCAATGTGAGTCATTCCACAGAATCCATCCGCCGTCCGGATCCTGTGGGTTTAGCCAGTTAGACACCCCCTCAAGAGATGAATGTTGCCGACCGCTTGCTTCTCTAGTTATACCAACTTTAGAAACGACCGCACCATAGCAATACACAGCGGTCTAAGGAGCCATAAACAAACCTCAACCAAAACGCCACTCTATAGCCACAAATAATGCTCAGAACAGCACCTAACTTCATCAGCAGTACATAAAGGGTCCCAGCCATAGTACTAGACACCAAACGTCTTTTTAACTTTGCCTGATTTCTTTAGCAAAGAGACTAAACTCAACTCACCTACTCTCCTCCAGCAGCTCTCTTCTTCTTCTTCTACTCTGTTCTTCATGGAAATACAATCAGACCGAGACGCTAAGGCAGAAGAACAGCTGATAAAATGATAAAGTAATGATCATAAATGTTCTTCCTTGAGCTGTGTCACCCCGCAGTATTCCATAATGGACTGGCCTGAGGTCTTGGTACAAACAAGAGGCTGCTGGAAGAGAGTAGATGAGTTGTGTTTAGTCTCTTTGCGAAATAAATCAGGCAAAGCAAAAAAGCTGTTTGGTGGCTAGTACTGTGGCTGGGACCCGATATGTACTGTTGGTGAAGTTAGGTGCTGTTCTGAGCATTACACGTAGCTATAGAGTGGCGTTTTGGTTGAGGTTTGTGTATGGCTCCTCAGACCGCTGTGTATTGCTATCATGCAGTCGTTACTAAAGTTGGTATAACTTTAGAAGCAAGCGGTCGGCAACATTCATCTCTTGACGGGGTGTCTAACTTGGTGTTACAGTGTGTTTGACCCTGATTTGATTTTACGCCGGAATATCCCTTTAAGGCATTATTGTAGGCGCTTTTGGACATGTGAATGGGGCTAGTTATTTGTACTAATCAACCAAGTAACCAACAAATATTCAGCCTTTCTAAAGCACACAAATTAAGCAAATGAGAAATTGATTCCTGTCTAATCAGGACTGATTAGACAGAGAGGTGGGCTAACAGGAGGTGGCCTTTCCCCCATATTGGAGCTACTTATTCTCTGGTGTAATATGACCTAACATGGCTAATGCAATCCTGAGTGGGTTTATACAGGAGGCAGTGTAGATTATGCCAACTAATATAAATGAGTATATACCTTTGCATATTTTAACTCCAGCTCTTAGAGGACTCAAACTGCATTCCCACATGTGGCATTTGGATGTGATGCACACCGAACCCCCCTCTTCTTTTTTCCATTTGTGTGCATCAAAAAAGGTCACAGATACGTGAAATGCATAGATTGGAGTTATATCCGCTGCGGTGACCCCACCTCAGTGGGAAGTCACCACATTAAGAGAAAAAAAGGATTGGTTCATGAATGAGACACAGCAGTGAAATTGAATTAATGATTCGATCAGTGCAGGTCTTGTATAGATATGTTAATTTAGAAAGGTATAAAGCTATGCCGTCATCGGAGGTCCATTTATTGAACTAATATAATGTTGTTTTATAAGTCCGTTTTAGTGACGTCCACCCAACGCCTTGTTTCCAGACTCACACTTGTCGATGTTGCTAACAACACACCAGACATATGCCACAGCATGACAAACACGTATACACCAGACACCTTTCTACCTCCCCCTTTTCCCCCCACTTCCCACAACTTAGCTCTCATGTCCAGTTCAATGTCAAAGTCAATGTCTCATCTATTGTCGCGGGAGCAGCTCTGCACGGGGAGTCAGAAATCTGTCGACTGACCACTGACTCATTTTTCTGATGGGGTCAGACGGGCAGAAGGAGATAAATAATGAAAAAGGACCCCGTCACAGCTGGAGCGTCAGTGTTGGACAACACCCCGTGGAGCGAGGAGAGGAGAGAAAAACTATACATTATTCCCTTTCACGGGGCATTTTTCGAGAAGTCTGCCTACGCTACGTTTACATTATTCATGTGGAGCATGGGAAACCAGCACTCCTTCTTAAGTGTAAAAGAGTGGGAGGAATAATGTAGTATCCATAATAGAGTGTGGTAAAATTCATATATGATATGTGTATTAAATATTTACACAAACCTCCTTTAAGTCTGCTTTAACGCCAACTGTGCAGCTGTGTAATTAATCATCAAAAAGCAGAATGGTTATATTTAAAGAGAGAAAAGAAAAAAAAAAAATTTGCGCACAGCTTTCAACACGAGTTCAGCTGCTTATTGACTTGCTGTACATGTAGAAGTGAAGAGATTTCCCCACATGGATCTGCTCTGTAACAAAGCCAGGACTAACCTTTCCCCAGCAAGACCGCCAAAGTCATATTAACCGACTTTTACCAGATCTGAGTGGATATCCTCGCCAAAAACCAAACACTGAAAATTTTCACAAACTGTATCCGTCTGCTGCTTAAATCTAAAATAGCAATAATAACACACACATCCAAGCCTGCAGTTTGATTAAGCAGGAGGCTATAGGTCAAGGCCTTGCCACATGGTGAGGACCAAGCTTTACAGTGTTGATTAAAGCGAAGCACTGGGGGGATTTGGGTATTCTCAGAAAATGTCAAGTAATCATACATCCAATAAGACCCCTAGAGAGCGTGGATTGACAGAAGTGACCCTTAAGGATTGAACGGGCGGACTCTGAACTGAGCCCTTTATGAGAAGGAGAGAAGCGTACTGGGAAGCTCACGGTACCTGCCACTGTCTTTAAAAAAGACCCAGAAGCTGAGAAATAGATACACAGAGACCGGCAGATACACTCTGACCTTAGCAATTACACATCTCATGAGTCACTTGAAGTACCTGAACCAATACTGTGAGTTTTATTGCAGCTTTTTAACCAGCCCACAATGAGTGAGTGTGGTCATGGACTCTATTCATGGGACTGAAAGCAGTGCAGGTTACATGTTGCACCTCTGAAGGACTTAAATTCACAAGAGATCATTTTATCCTTTCCAAATTGATTTTGCTCGCTCATACCCTGCAGCTTTAGATAATGAATTGAGCAAAAGACGACAATAAAATTGTATTGAACACAAATGGCATAATTTCTATAATCCTGTGGCAGCACCTTGGGAGTTTTTTTGTTGTTTTTTTTCGTAAAAACTTCCAAATCACTGCATCAGTAGTGGCAACTGTTGGGCTCCAGGCTAATCGTATCATGTATGTTCTTACAGTTGACGCCCATCAACTCACAAGCGCAATAGATATAGAATTTAGTGCCTACCTACAACGTCAAAACTACTACAGAACAATTTGCTGGTCATGATATTTCCATTCTTGATGGACCAACCAGCTGACCTAAATCCAATAAAGAATCTTTGCTGTATTTGTTGTTAAGAAGACAAGAAACACCCAACCCAAAAGTACAGATACAACAAAGACCACCAGGCAATCTGGGTTTCAGTACTTCCTTATGTGTTTTTGCCTCCATTTTATGGTCCACTGATGTAGTAACTTCATAATAAAGGAGCCTCAACAGATACTGTGACAAACACAAAAGTTTTTCTCGAGATGCACCAATTTTTTTTGTTTTGGATAGACCCAAGGAGGGCTATCGACTACTTTATAGGAGCTACGAGATCCTTATACAGAAAGAGTGGAGCAACAGAACTGGACCCTTACTGTTTATCATACTTGGGCTCTCAATACCCAATATAGATCTATATTTTTGTTTGAGGGATTATATTCCTACAGACCAAGGAGTTTTCTTTTGATGCAAGTCAATTCAGACTGACTGCGCTTTCCCAAAAGAGGGCGGAGCCACAAGTAACCCAGGATTTCCTCCGCATCCGGAACAACAATTTTTGCCGTCCGCCAATTCCTACTGGATCCGTTTGTGAGGCGAATTTCGTGGCGGATTACAGACAGCAGGAATCGCGAGAACTCACCAGAACCCACGGATTCATGTGCAATCACGCGATAACAAGATGTCTCTAGCCACACAGGCTAACCATATTCGCAGTAGATTGTGTCCTTCGAGAGTAAATCGACTTCTAAAATCAGCATCTCCTCATCCATGGTTTCACCGGGATGAAATTCTGTTTATAAACCTTTCACTTGTTCGTCCCCGCCCGTTTGCATAGTATGAAATTCAATTCTCTTGAAACACGTAGTGTTTTATTTTAAAAAGAAGCCAGATGTTTTATTTTGTGTCTGTGCCCGACTTCTTTTCCAGCACGGGTTAATCTACGCTGAATTTACCCGGCATGCTCCGGCGTCCGGAACAGAGAGAAGCTGTTGGAAAATTGACACATTAACTTGAATGATTACAATCAGCTACGATTGGTGGATATGGCCTTTTCAGAGCCGTTCTGGATGCGGTGGAGGTAAATGGCAAAGTATCCTGATGATTACTCTCTCATGTATACGCTCCAATATTTACCACAAAAACAAACTTTTAACATCTCTGAAACTTCCTGCATGTTTTTTACAGTCTATGGTGGCGATTTAAGGGAGGGCGATGCCACCACTGATCACCATTCCGACTGCGCCTCTGCCTAAAAGAACAATTTTGGCCAAATAATACCAGTTCTTCAAAACTTGTAAAAACCTGAACACCTGAAAGAAAGTGAGGTGGGAACAGGTGCATTTTTTGTGCCCAGTCCTTCAGACAGCTCAGACAGCCAAACAAAAGTTTTGAATTCAGGTGTGCTTACACTTCTAAACAAAGAATTGAAGAAAAAAATCTACTTTGTTTTCTTTTTAAATTTCCTGGAGAGGAATATATTCTCTTTTGTTGTTGGATCTTGACTCATCCTATTGTTACTCTAAGAGGAAAGGAAACAGCAGCAGTTATTGGATGCACTCGGTAGTTTGAACTTCCAAGAGTTGCAAACTTGAAACAGACTTAGTATTGCTATAGTCTCGACAGCGAGTCCATCATGAAGCTTCCTAATGTGGAAAAATGACATACTGTGTTAGAAGTAAGGCTTTGTCTTTCTTGAGAAATGCAACTTCAAAGTCTTCTCGCATATGTACTGAAGACAGAGTGCATCTATTGTTTATGGTGACATGCAGCTTTCAGATGCAGCTCAAACAGCTGATTAGAAGCGGCGGATATTTGCATCAACGGCCTTTATTGTCTGACATATATCACAGTGCACCGAAAGTGTTGCCTCCTGCTACATTTTACCTCAACAACTCAATCCGTCTGACACACAGAGCCAAGGTTTTTAGTTATTTTGTGTTTTTCAGATACATTTTTAATCGTGTTTTGTGTTGCCACTGTGCCAGTCAAAGACACAAGTTGTTTTGCTTTTAGCATCATGAAAAAAGATTTAAAGGACAATATATTCTTGTCATTTATTATTTGGCGACCCTGCCTCTCCAGGATATGTAAAAGCTGATGGAGTTTGTCAGCTCACACTTATTCAAAAGGCTAAAATGTACAATCACTTGTCATCTCCAACTTAAGCTTCCACTACAAAAACAAAGTGTTTTGACAGGTATGGTTCAAGAGGTGACATTTACTTCCTAACTCTTTTTCGAAATCATCAAAAAGTCTACAACGCAAACAGGATGAGTGATTTGTTAAAGACGCAAACGCTTCCATAATTTTTTTTTTTTATTTGAGCGTTTTGAACACAACAAATCTTCCCATCCTGAGTGTGAAGACACATCACCTGTCAATGCTTTTCAAAGCCTTCAAGGATGACTCATCACTGCTTTCTTATGTACGTGACACTTCTATGATTAAAGGTGCAGAGCATCCATTTAGAAATGTGACACAGCACTCGTGAAGCAAAGGGTCATGGAGCGTTTTTTAAAATACCAATCAGCCTCCTACAATCTGAAACGGAGAAGCTGTGAAGAAAGGACGTGAGGAAAAACAGACAGGACTGGTAATAGGACTGTGAACCTGACATATAAAATACTGTGCAATTTTTCCACTTCAATACATCCAAAGTCTTCTTGAACTTCATGTAGTAACAAAAAAAAGCAGCTGAACCAGCCATAGAAAGCAGAGGTTGAACAAGGTGAGGGTGAACAAATGATCATGAGGACAAGGTCAAGTATATGAACCACTCAACACTGTAATTGGCTGAAAAAATACATTATGTGAACAGAACAAACAAGGTTGAAAGGACTGCAAGTTCTAGAGTGATTATTATTGAAGAGTGGAGTCTGACAACCATTCCTGCGTCAATATTTCCATTAACGACAAAAACTAAAATCACAGTATAATACCGTTAACTTCTTGTGTATAGATATTTCAATTTAAAATGTATTTGGGTAATGGGCCCCTCTAACTCCTGCAAAAGTAGTTAGCCTATGCAGTGTTTGACAGTCATTCTTATCTACACTATATCCATTAACGTCAAAAACTGAAATCACAGTATAATAGCGTGAACTTCTTGTGTATAGATACTTTAATTTAAAATGTATTTGGGTAATACGCACCACTGACTACTGCAAAAGTATTTAGTGTATACAGTGTTTAACAACCGTTTTTATGTACACTATTTCCATTAAGGTCAAAAACTAAAATCACAGTATCATACTGTAAACGTCTTGTGTATTATTATTTTAATTTAAAATGTATTTGGCTAATGGGCCCCACTGACTACTAAAAAATAGTCACTGTATGCAGAGTTTGACAAGCATTCGTATCTACATTATTTCCATTAATGTCAAAACTAAAATCACAGTATAATACCGTTAACTTCTTGTGTATAGATATTTCAATTTAAAATGCATTTGGGTAATGGGCCCCACTGATTCCTGCTAAAGTATTTAGTGTATGCAGTGTTTGACAACCATTCGTATCTACACTATTTCCATAACGTAAGAAACTGAAATTACAGTATAATACTGTTAACTTCTTGTGTGTAGATATTTTGATTAAAATGTGGCACCACACATCCCTATAATTCTTCTTTGCTTGATTCCTTAGGCTCTCAGGAAATGCATCACAACAAATCACAATAAAAGAAAATGTACTTGCTCAAAAAACCCAAATGTACTCTTTCCATTGATGAGATCTTCTCATTTAAGACGAAACATTGGTGCTGCGATGAACATTGTGGAGTAGTTTCACACTAACTCATGACCTGGCAGACAGCTCTTTAAAAATTCATGTAGTGGGACCAGCTGTCAGATTTTTGGGGTCAGTGCCACCCTTTGCCACCCCCCTGGTACAGCCCCTGGTAGAATAGGGCAACCTTACTATTTTAGTCAATTCAGGGCCGAGCCAATTTCACCCCATGTCTCTGTGATTCTGCACTGACTGACCTTTGACCCTCATATTGTAAAACACAGTAAGCAGGCTATTTAACCTTACACCCTTACACTGCTGCTTCCTGGTAAATAGAGCACCTCTGCCCCGGCCAATGGAGTTATTTGCTGACATTTGGCAGAGATTTATGGTTTAAGCGGTCACAAATATGAGCACAATACAGGAGATGATATAAAACTATGAAGTAAACTGTCTGGGTGACATCCAGCAGTGGGAAAAAAACACTTGGTGTATTTCAACTTTTGCAACAAACCAGGCCTTTCTCATCACTTAGCTTTATATCAGGGCTGTGTGCTGCAGAAGTAATATTTTGTTTTTCAGCACTTAATCCTGCTCCTGTCTCACTATCTCTGGGATCTGCAGTATCCATTACCTTGGTCCCTGCAATCCCCCCAAGATTACTTTGTTATCATCCATCTATTTCCGTCCCTCACTTTATTTCCAGACCTATCCCTTCCCTCTTGTTTTGTTTTCCTCATACAGTACAGCCTCTTCCAACTTCCTTTTTCTCATCTTTTTTTCTGTCTTGGCTAATTCACTCATAGAGATCAGAAAATGTAACTTTCCCCTTGTTTTGATTAAAAAATAAGAGATGGAAAATGGCGAGAAAAAAATGCTACTGGCAACCTCTGCACTCCTTTTTACACAAGCTATAATTCATCATCTGCCCCTGGAAGATGAGGACTGTCTGCCCTTTCATTTATTTTCTGTATGTGCCCTTCGTTTACCTGTCTCATGCCATCTCTTTATTCACTTATGTTCTTTTAATCATACGTATAATTCATACATACTATGTAGAAATATAAAATGCATGGGTGGGTGGGATTTCTTTTGGTTTTGTTTTGTGCTCTGATATCTTTTTTGTTTGTTTGGTTTTATAATGTATGTTTATAAAAGTGAAAAACCAAAAAAAAAAAAAAAAAATGATGCAGTGACAAACAGATTTTGGAAGTTATTTTGAGTCCATGCAGGGACTCCCACTACAGAGTCATACCAAAACATATTGTGTCATCACTTCTGAGATAACTCTAGCTTTTCTGGTTGCTTTATACTCCGATTAATGATGACATATCTCAATTCTTTGCTGTTTTTTCATGATTAAAGGTCCTTTCACACCGGGAGCGTTTTTTTCATGCAATTATTTCGGACGTCAATATTTTTTTCGAACCCGTATCCTGTCAATACAAGCGTTCACATCAGCGACGTTTTCCCGTCCTGCCATATTGCAGCATTTATTTTTTTCGTATCACAGTCAAGTTTCTGACCAATCAGATTTCGTGTTGCTGTGACGTCTGATTCACCCGTATATCCAACATGGCCGACCGGCTGATTGTTTATGTGTCGGAGAACAGAGTGCTTTTTGATAAAAGACACAAATATTACAAAGATAACGACCTGAAGGACAACTTGTGGAGAGTCATAGCGTCGGATTTCTCATATGACGATGGTTTGTGTGCTTTAACAGTTTGCTAAACGTCTTTGTTTTAACTTTCATCTGTGCTAAGTAACTTTAGCTCGTAAGCTAACCTGTTCAGATACAACATACCATATGTATTTTCACTGTCTCAAACTCAATCACGTTGCTGTCACAGCACCATTAGGTCTCTGTTGTTACCTTACGTTTATGGATTATAGTTTAATGAGTTTATCTGGTACTGGCCCCGACTCAGTACATGCTATCATGACAGACAGCCATCTCAACACTAGTGTCTAATCAGAACTGAAAAACAGTCAGTCTGCTGTTGTGTCAGTCTTCTCACTTCCACCCACGACACGTCTTTTTTCCTTTGGGAAAGTCACAAAATCGCATCAGGCTTGATGTATATAGTCAGGCGCATCAAAATTCGCCTCCGAATATTTCGTAATTTTGTGTCGTGTATTTGCATCAGTCCCGGTGTGTAAGGACCTTTAGATATTAGTAATAAAATTATTTATCATAGTTTATACATTACTGTATATTTTTCGCACCAGATTATATAGTGCACTGTGAATTAACGTGTCTATGTTCACACATAAAGCGCACTGGATTGGATTGCACTGGATTAAGGTGCATTAAGAATCGCTTGGTTTATTGCTGCTAGCGCGTACTCCGGGCCCGGCCTGCCTTACGTGAATGCACTTCTAGTTCAGACATTACAGTCGGGCAGTGTTGTAAACTGCTCAGGGGCCGATCAGGTAGTGACACAGCGTACAGTAATGCACCGAATATCCATTGAGCGGAGTGGCTTTATTCAGTGCATTGTACCACACAAAATCGGTCAGTTAACACAAGTAATCACATATAAGGCGCACTAGATTATAAGGCACAGTGTCGATTTCTGAGAAAATTTAAGGATTTTAAGTGCGCCTTCTAGTGCAAAAGATACGGTATTTTGAAACTGTTGAACTCTTTGCACATGCAGTCTCTCACATGAGGCCTCCTCCAACTTTTACGTCTGAGTATCTGAGAGAGTTAGTTTCTTCAAAAATACATTTTGTTTTCTTCTCACAGTACAGCCTCTGTGATCCCTGTTTTATTATTCTCTTTTATTTTTGTGCTTTTTTTTTAACACAGAAAAAACAAAAACAAAAGATGGAAGACAGCAAAAAGAAGAAAAAAAAATCAATCTTATAAACAGTTCCCTCTTTGCATGGGACGGTTTTAACTTGTATCAAATGACGCAGTGAGAAACAATGGATTTTAAGTCCATGCGGTGCTCCCCACTACAGAGCCATACCCGCACTTTTCAGCTGCATCATTTATGAGATTTAACTGGCTTTTTTAAACATTTCTAAGCTGTCTTATACTTCAGAGAATGAAAGGAAACTTTAAGTAAGAAGGGAAAAGTCAAAGACGGTTCAGAAACAAGAGAGAGAAATAGAGGAGAGAGAAAGGAAAAGTAATTAAGGTGAGGGGAGAAGGGGAGAGACTGGAGACCCCACTTAATAAATCAGAGCTGCCGAGCAACCTGTCAGTCTCTAGGCTCTTTTTATTGGTCACTGAGGATCAGCCAGTATTAGTCACCAGGGTCTTGCTTTGTGTGTGATTGGAAGCTTGAGTGGGCACTGTGTGTGTATGTGCGTATGTGTGTGTATGCGCGTGTGTGTGTGTGTCTGAGAGAGGATTCAATCAATAACACATGGATTGAGGCCACAGGCGGAGACAAGGAGTCATGTTGGTGATGGTGGGAGAAGTGCGGGAGAAGAGCAGTGTCCCTGTGTGTGTGTGTGTGTGCGCTGGCTGCATATGTCAGTATGAAAGGGTGAGGGAGAAAAGAGGACGAGAGAGAGAGAGGATGAGAGAGAGACAGATATAACAAGTAAGGTATTCATGTTGGGTAATGAAAGAGCGGACAGCAGGAGAGAGAGTGCAGGGATAGACGAGCCAGTCCTCATTAATGATCATCAGCCCGTGGTGTGTGTGTGTATGTGTGTGTGTGTGTGTGTTGAAGTGACAGAGTGTGTGTGCTTTGTTGGGTGTGATGAATCACAATTCAGGGCCCCCTTACCATCTCTAACACCCACAAGCATTGGTGTTGTTATTGATGACAGGACTCCTTGTGATTCTGGGAATGAGTTTGTGTGTGTGTGTGTGTGGGTGGGGGGTCTGCCAGACGATGGTGATGGTGACCCCCTTAGCTCCAATTACAACAGCTCAAGGTGCCGGAAGGGTCAACCCAAGAGAAACAGAGGACGGCAGATAGAATCCGAGGCGTGCAGAAAGCAGCGAGCCCCCTTTAACAAGACTTGATTCAAGCACACACATGTACAGGCCCATCAGTATTCAGGCTGCCGCAGTGACACGACTGATCCCCCCGGGAATCCCCCCACTCCTCCGCCCAATCCCTATCTGAAGTTGCTGACGTATCGAGGATCGCTCAGCGTTTAAGCTTTAAAGCACTGCCGACTGCCTGACAGTCACCTGATGCAGGCTGCAGTGAGGGTTAATGGGAGTTAAAAGGACCCAGCGGAGACGCCTTAAGAGCACCCAGCTGTGATTGCACCGGCTTTCTTTTTAGTTCTCTAACCCTAGAGACTTGCAAACACACTGGAACACTTTGGTGTCCTTATAGATCTTCGTTTTTCAGCTATATAATAGAAAACTTGCACAAGTGCAGCTTCAAGTTCAGGCTTTCATGACGTAAAGGAGGTTCTTGTTGTGGATCCATTTATCTTGAAAGTTAAGTTTCATGGCCGCCCTTAACTATACGGTCGTGCTTTTTAAAGCTGAGCAATATTATTTTTGATTCCGAGTTATTTAGTTGAAGAAAGTTCAAGGCCATACAACTCTAAGAGACTGTCTTTAACGGCAGCAAGGCTTCAAGGGTCTTCAGGTCTCAGGATGGTAAATCTGAGTGTCATCTGCATAGCAATGAAACGGAACTTTGTGTTGCTCCATAATTTGGCCATGCAGCAGCAAATAAACACTGTACTTTAATAAACTGGTAAAACATAATTAAGAAACTCATATTAAAAGCCACTTAACATTCATAGATGATACAGATTATGCTTTGGAGAAAGTCAAAAGACTCTTGATACGGTGTACAAGAATTTGATAGAAAGTATTTTGTCCTTCAACAAGGTAGCATTGTACTGACTTCTGGATGTCAAAGATAGAGGGAGACTGACAAGAGGGGTCAATACAGCCGGTAAAATCACTGGGAAACCTCCGATGACTGACATGCTGGAAGGAAGCCCTTGAGATGACAGGCGACCACCCAATCCTTAAATCCCCCCTGACTGTCAAGGGTGTATTTTTGATTTTCTTGATCTGTTGATCAGTCAGACACTTCACTGTGGTCTACTGAATCTACATTTGACATTTTTTTGGAAACCATGGATACCACATCTTCGGGGGGATGATATGCACATTTACAGAACTGGGAAGGCGACACTAACCCTGAACGACTGTCAGTACCTATTTTCTTGGACACCGTGAGGAGGATCTCGCTTAAGTACAGAAAGTAGCAGCTCTATCTCATGGAAATCAAAGGTCTAAGACAAAAGAGCTTCTTATTTGGTGTTTGTGAGGAAAAAACGAACAAGTTTTTATTTCTTGATCACGAGCAACAAAGTCCCCTCAGACAGAGGGCTCTTTAATACTGGGGCTATGTTGTATTATGCGCCTGTCTTTTATGGATATTTGTTAGAAGCTTTTGTTGGGTTTTTCCCAGCAAAGCAATTATTCAACCTCTGGGAAGGCATTATTGTGGATATCGATACATCAGCCAAATGACAGCAATTAAATAAACCTTAAAATGGACACATGGGACATTTTTTAAAAGGACAAAAATCGATTTTTGACTCTTGAGATCAATGTGCCAACTCCCATCAATCAATTCTGCAATTAAATAAAGAATGTGTCATCCCAGCACTTTTGTATCTACAAGGGGGGTTGAACTTGGATTAGATTCTGATCCTTTAAGTACAATTTGACCTTAACGGTTTACAGTAAGCATCAGTAGAGATTAGACTGAGCAGACACAGTGAACTCAGAATTATTTATCCACAGACTGAGTTTTGTTTTTGCTTCTCAGTCTGATTTATGATGACAAGACAGCAAGATATATGAGCCCCTCTACTCTGAGAGAGATGCCGCTTTATGCCACACAATTGCACCTCTTCTCACTGGCTTTCCTTTTGACATGAAACAGTGCCAGTGTTTGATTCCAGTCGCATGTGCAGCTCAGCAGCAGTGCAGAGGCATTATCACCTTCAGGCAGAGGGACTGGAAGCAGAGGATTACCCAATGCAACAGTCAAATATTGCTTGACTCTGAGCCATTATCCCAAAGCCCCCTTATTCACTCCTCAGCCTTGCATTCATCACCCCCAGATCCTTGAGCAGCTCTGCTGCTTTCACTCCATACACACAGCATGTGCTGCCACAGCCTCTTGGCACCTTTTCTCTCTCTGGTGTGTATTTACAGTTGCGTGTCATCTCCAAAGAAAACACTGGCAGCCACAATGAAGGCCAGTGCACATCCACCGAGCAAAGGGGATTACACCTTTTTTGTGTTCTAATTTAATTTATGTTTTAATCCTCTTCTGGATGTTGCTAAGATTTTGCAGAATGGGTCAGTTCGGAAAATGTTATGACGCAGATTTTCAAGCATTAAGCTGCAAAATGCGTCAGGCTGACAAACGCATACAACAAAGGGGCAGAGTCAACTTGTTGGCCATTCAAGCCTTCAGTGATAATTGTCATTTCATTATGTGGCTTTCACTTTCTCACCTCTGATTCACCTTATTCTTCAAAAATAACAATAGCCTTCACAGGATAGCCTGCAAATAATACACTTGACTCAAACATGTCCAAACCTAATTCCTCTAATATTTAAGCGGACAAACTACCCAACATTTAAACCACGTTGACAGATCCTGAAAAGGTCAACACTTTGAGAGTAATTGCTGTTGAACAGCCTGAGAAAACACCCGGAGTGGGGAATGCTTCTGACAAGCCTTCAGCATCCAACCGACTGGCTGGCAGACAAAAGACACCAGAGACATTTTGTTTGCAGCGATCCAACGTTGTATTGACTCAGGCAAAGAAACTGCACTCTGCTAGATAAAAAGCCTTTCGAAAAGCCATTTTGCATTTGGAAACAATAACAAGATTAGTGCATCAATCCAAACCCCACCGTCCGTCTGGCTGCTAACCAGCACGAAGCTCCCTCATTTTCCATATTCTGTTTGTTGGAGGACATTTGGTCATTATAATGCTGGAGAAACACAAAAAATGCACATTTATGAAAGACTATTTTACCCTAATGCCTCTTAAACCTGCTACTTGCATTAAAGGTCGACAGAGCCTCTTTTTTGTCACAGTTCACTGCAGACAGACACTTTCCCTTTACCACGATTGAAACATTAATATGACAGTAATTCAATTAACAATATTATTACATAGAGGAGATGAGTCTTTGAGCTTCTGAGCTATTATTTGCATGTTTATTCATTCATTTAAATGATGGTTGCGTTTTTTCCTGGCTCTTATGGAAAATGAAGTGTGCAGTAATGAATGAATACACACTATTAAATACTCAAGAGATGCGTCTGCCATATACTAGTAACACAGCTCCCACACACTTCAAAATAAGTCCTTGTAAAGAGGCTCGGTGGGGGAGTATGCGGCTACCTTTACATTCATTAACAGTCTGGGCGAAGGAGGATGCGGACTTGAAGGGGTATACTGATGTAAATGTTTAAAATATTGATTTAAAGTCTGTTTATACAGCGCTTAGGCCCACGTGTTAATTTTTTATTCACAGTTCTGAAAAGACTACGCCACTAGAAAGAGCTTCAGCTGATGCTGACGGCATGAACAGACACACAGGAGTCGTTATATCTTACCTGACTGGAAAAGTTGTTTTACACCATTTTGAGTCACATGTCATTTGCCATGTAGTTTACAGGGACGCTTTTCATTTGCAAAAAGTGGATTGTCCCCCTGAATGAAGGAAAGCAGTAGACAGGAGCTGATTTAGATGCAGTATTGTAGGCATGGATGAAATTTTGATTGCAAAGGTGGGGGTGTCTTAAAGGAATATTCCAGCGTAAAATTAATCAGTGCAACGGTGTTTGCACTGAGTTAGACACCCCCTTGAGAGATCAGTGTTGTCGAGAAGCAACAGCTCGCTTCTCTAGTTATAGCAACTTTAGCAACGACCACGCGATAGCAATACACAGCAGTCTGAGGAGCCATAAACAAACCTCAACCAAAACGCCACTCTATAGCCACAAATAATGCTCAGAACAGCACCTAACTTCATCAACAGTACATATAGGGTCCCAGCCACATCACTAGCCACCAAACATCTTTTTAACTTTGCCTAAATTTTTTAGCAAAGAGACTAAACATAACTCTCTCACTCTCTCTATGGACTACAGTGGGGTGCCACAGCTCAAGGAAGAACATTTATGATCATTACTTCATGGAAATGCAATCAGAGTGAGACGCTAAGGCAGATGAACTACCACGTCTGCAGTGCAAAATGATTATTTTGATGATTATTACGTCAAGGAAATAATACAGTAATGATCATAAATGTTCTTCCTTGAGCTGTGGCACCCTGCTGTAGTCCATAATGTACTGGCCCTAGGTCTCGCTACAAACAAGCGGCTGCTGGAAGAGAGTGGGTGAATTGTGTTTAGTCTCTTTGCTAAAGAAATTAGTCAAAGTTAAAAAAGATGTTTGGTGGCTAGTGCTATGGCTGGGACCCTTTAATGTACTGTTGATGAAGTTAGGTGCTGTTCTGAGCATTATTTGTGGCTACAGAGTGGCTCATTGGTTTAGGTTTGTGCTGGCTCCCTAGACCTCTGTGTATTGCAATCGTGCAGTCGCTACTAAAATTGCTAATCAAGGACCTTGTGAGCGGTCCAATCCGAGAGAAACCAGTTTTAGGCTTGAGCAGCCTTTTGGTCCTAGTGCCTGAGGTGTATCAGTTTGCTATAGCGTAAAGTAACAACTTTTTCAGATGGTTAAAACTGCAGGGAACCAAAATGACATGTCCCCCGTGCCCGTCTCACAAGTTACGTCAGTGATTGTAGGTCTTTACATGTAATGTAGAATGCTACTAAAAGGCAATGGGGGAAAAAAAAGAGAGAAAACCAAACAGGAATTTGGAACATCATGCAGAGGTTCACAGGGAGGCCTACCAGTAAGGAGTTGCTGTAGTCCACGCATGATAGTACAAGAGCCCACAAATCTTACTGTGAGTACTGTGACTTAAATTGGTCCACAGTTACAGTTAAAAGCTATAAGGAAGCTAGCTACCATTGTCTGCCCTGTTCTTTCCTAAGAGAGGGAGAGCAAAAGAGTAGGCGGAGGGCAAGGTGACCATAAAATTTCATGACAGGAACATCAGACCTCAAATAAAATAGGCAAACCCTCACAGACATATGTGCCACTGATGGTCCGGGGCAGTAGAAAGTAAAGTGAGGTCAGGTTCACAACCCCGCTCAAGGCTAATCTCAGCACTTAAGCAAATGTCAAGTCAAAGGAAAGGAATAAATCTTGTCGTGCTGTTTTAACCCGGCTGACCCTGGATGTTAGGCGGTGACCTACCAGTAGCAAATTAGGTTTTACACACACCTCTGTCAAAACGTATTCAGCTCTGCACTCGTCATCGCACCTATAACCGTGTTTGTAATAAACAATAACACCAGATATACGGACTCATCTCTGTGTTTGTGCTCATCCATCCAAAGTTGTGTCTAACGTTGCACTTTGTCTTGTTTGTTTCAGTGAAGAAATAAATAAAAATAAGCGTCAGAAAATAAAGGTATTTCCACAACCCACTGCATGAAATCCTCTCTTAGCTGAAGGATTAGACCCTCCAGCCTGGATGGAGAACCAGTGGGATAAAAGATTAGCTCAGCTGACACCATCACTGCTAAAGAGACGGGTCGGAGAGTGCTCCCCAATTATCCTGGATATCCACTTAAGGGGGGCTTTAGGATGACTCGTTAAAGAAAACAAAATCCACTCTTGCACTGCTAGACATCAACTCCCAAGAGTATTAAATGTAGCTCTGGAGTTATTCTCACTCTGGTTTTAATATTACATTTCACTGTTATGGCTGTAAACATCACATGAAAATACCCAGTTCTGTGTAAAATGTAATTCTGCAGCTCTGGGAAGACTTTAAAACAGCATGTCGGCTTTTGTTATGTCAGGATTAACTTCTTCAACACAACAAATCCTTGCAAAGCAGTCAACCTCAACCCTTTTATTCATAAGAACCAGCATTTCTTTTTTTTTTTTTTGCTGTTCTCACATGTTACTTCGTTCTGACCTTCACCAGGAAAAACTGAGTCACTATTTATGCATTAAAAAGTCCAGGATGAATAGTCTAGTTAATTTAATAGGCTGCACAGTACTATTCACTGGGTTGAGTAAAAAAAAACAAAAAACTTAATGCATTCAGTCCCAGCTTTTCCTCCAGATTGACTGTTGATTTGTATTTGTGGATCTCACATTCAGTTTGTCCTTCAGCAGCAGAGAAGAAACTGAGTGAAAAAAAAAAAGAAGAAAATATCTCATTCACACCGTTCAGGTTGACTGAGGTTCTCTCTCTTTAAAAAGTCTGTGTATGCTTTTCCTGATGGATTGATTAAAAAACAAATTAAACCATAATTTCACTTAGAAGTGAGCATATTTGAAAGGATGGCCTAAAATACGGAAATGAATGAATAAATCAACTAAATCCTCAAAGCTGCCATTCATAGAGCAGGAAAATCAGCTTTTTCTCACTCTGAATTTCTGGGAACTTGACGAGGTTGTGTGAATAATGTGATTTCATGACTTTATAGCCTCGGCACATGTGAAAAGTTCGCCATTAAGTCCTGTTACAGCTTCAGTTGAGTTACCAGCTGTATGCTCTTGGCGAGGTTATCAGCGGTTCATTCTATAAATATTGTTTTGATCCTCTCAAGTCAAGAACCTCCATGTAAACGCTTCTAAACATGGGAATCAGTGTTGCCGGGTGGGAAACATAGAATTCTTGTATTCTTGGGAAAATATTCATACACCCATCATTATGAAAATAACAATCTTACTGTTACATGATAGTCACATATAGTTACTCTGTTAAGTGTCATACAGGCACTCATGATTTTGAGGCTACAGTTTTGTGGTCATTCACCGCCGGGCGCCATATCAGCAGCTCCAACTCAGCTGTGTCACACTAATGCGTCCCCTTTAAACAAATGACAGGTGGGAACTAATGAGCCAAATCATGAGACCTTGAGGTCACCTGCTTTTTTGAAACAGGCGGTTTTAGCCGTACGCCAATTCCTACTGGATCCATTTGTGAGGCAGATTTCGTGGTGGATACGGACAGCAGGAATCCCGAGAACTCACAAGAACCCATGGATTCCCGTGGATTCCTGTGGATTCCCGTGCAATTGTGCGATAACAAGTCGTCTTTAGCCACATAGGCTAACCATATAAGCAGTAGACTGTGTCCTTCCAGAGGAGGAAAACTACTTCTAGATATCCTCTCATCCATGGTGTCATTGGGATGAAATGCTGTCTATAAACCTTTCACTTGTTCATCCCGCCCATTAGCATGGTGTGAAATATCTGCCTGAAACACTTAGTGTTTTATTTTGAAAAGAAGCCGGATGTTTTATTTTGTGTCTGTACCCGACTTCCTTTCCAGCACGGGTTAATCTGTGCTGAATTTATCCGGCATGCTCCGGCGTGTGGAAAAAATAGAACTCTTGTGATCAGCTGTGGAATCCGGTGATCCGCAGCGGAACGGAAAGAAGCCGGTGGAAATTGACGCATTAACTTGAATGGTTACGATCAGCTACGATCGGCGGATACGGCCTTTTTGTAGCTGTCCCAGATGTGGTGGAAATTGGGGGTGACAGGTAGGCACACACTGTAGCTATTCGCAAAGTGGCTAAACTTAGGGTGAGTCAGCATTTTCAATATGAGCGCTACTACTCGAGTAATCTGATAGCGCCATAAAAATGATGATTATGAATTCATTCTAGGTTCCTAAAGATTGTTGTTCGGGTGTGAAATGTGAGTTTTACCCCCAGAAGTTCAAAACTGAATGACCAGGAAAGGTATCTTTCAGTTTTACAACTCTAAATGTTTACCATGGCTGAAGTGACAAGGGAGCACTTTACATCTCAACCTGATGTAGGAATGATACAGAGCTGCATTGCAATTTTGCCGTAGTTTGAAATAGAAACATATCCCCCCAGTAAAAAGCAAGAAAATAAAGGAGATTTTTTTTTCCTGATGTCAAATGCAGTTTGGAGTCATGATGGTTCTATAGGTGGAAAACTGCATTCCTATAAAGACATTTCTCTCTGCTGAATGTCCGTGAAAGCTTTCGCTTTTGACACTTAGAGGTAATGCTTGAGACATTTTCTAAGTGTTCATTCCTCGCCTTCACTGCGAACGCATGTCTCCTATGGCTGGAACAATGCAGAGAGGATTAAACAGAGATGGGAAGACGGGGAGATAGAGTGATCAAGCTAGAGAGAGAAAGACGTTGAATGCTATCAGTCGGTGAAATATACCCCCACGCCGTCGGCGCCAAAGAAAAAACATCACTGTCCTGGGGTGCCAGGCTGAGATGGACGACAGGGACACTGGCTCTGCGTGAGTTCCTATGTGTGTGTGTGAGGGATCCCGAGTACGTGCAGAAAGAGTGAGAGAATGAATTCCCGCTTGATACATCACAGGTACAAAAGTAATGGCCTTCTGTGAAAATCGCTGCAAGCTGCCCACTGTGTGTGCCGTGGTTCCCTATGTACACACAAGAACACACACGCACACACAGTCAAGCAATCAACACCGTAACAATAACGGCCTGTCTTTGCAGGTAAAAAAAATGACTGCGACTACCTGGGAGGCCTCTGCCGCACACCCTCAAATACAGAGCTTCTCTTCTGCTTACCCGGTATCGACCTTGTGAGTGTAACATAGCAAATAAAGCAGTGAATGATGGATTTTTCTAGCAAGGATCCGTATTTGAAATGTTCTCAGTTTTGTTTTCTTTCTCTTGCTCGGTTCTGGAGGTGAATATTGCTCGCTATATGTCAGGCTGGGTGTGTATACATGGACACTTTTTGGAAACCCGGAGAAAAGTTTGGAGCTGTTGACAAGAGCAGAATGGGACCGAACCTTTAATGTGGCTCAAAGGAGAGAGGAGGGAAATCAGATTAGATATCCCTTGATGGTAAGAAAACGTCTGTTTATATTTTGTACATCACTTCATACAGGCAGACAAAGCGATTTCCCCTCATCCTCGCCTGTCTCCATCAGCTCACAGAGCTCCCTCATCACAGGTATTGATCTGTCAGTGGGTAGTGCCTCTCGAAGAATGATCTCTTGTCCTGAACATGACCTGTTCCCCAGGAGGTTAGGTGTTCGGCTCATGTTACCATGGTGATGGACCCCAGTGAGGAGTGAACCACTTCAGCAAGACTTGATTCTGTAGACCTGTAACCTCTATGAATGTGCAAGCTCGGTAAAAGGACATACACACACACATACACACACAAAAACGAGAGAGATAGACAGAGGCGAGATTGATGCAGCTGGAAAGCAGGCAGGAAAACATTTGCAGCAGCCATCCAGAAGAATCTACAGCATGATGGAGCTCAGGGACTACCAGGAAAGACTGTGTATCAGCGACTCCAATGGGACATGATGATTCAGTAAAGGCAAACAGACATTAAATGTGGGATGAGAACACAGCTCTAAACATGGGGGGAAACATGATTGAATCAACATGGCTGAAACAAGTCCCAAACATGTTACATAGAGTAGGTAAGCAAGATCATCCAATTGCAATCTCATAACAGCATATTTCAGCACCATGCATCATAACAAAAACATAAATGCACTTGCAGTTTTAATTGCAAAAGACAAACTTACCCTGTCCGAGTACATGTTCCCGCAAAGTGAAGCAGTGCCATGCGGCAGAGCACGCACAATGCAGAAGGTTACAAACCCCGAGTGGAGCAAGAAGCCCATGGTGCCTGTGCAGCTGAAACAGCCGACCATTCAGTCCACTTTCTCTACAACAAAATGTCGAAAAGACACAAAGACCTCACAGATGCAGTAGCTTATTGTATTGCGAAAGACATGCTACCAATAAACACTCATTTTTATATCGTGATATATACTGAGATTGACTGATATGAAAAATATATATAGTGATAGATTTGAGGGAAATACCTCAAAGTCGGGAAATACCTCAAATACCCTGTTTGAGCCAAGCATCATCACAGCGACTCTCCCTCTGAATGCGCACAATGCTACTGTAAAAGTGGTGGAGTGCGTACAACGGCACTGCGCAATGTTGGTTTCAGGAAATTGAGAAAAAATGCGGAATTATTGAGAGCTTTTTGGCTTCAAATCCGTATACTGGCGGAAGGCTGAACCAAGTTGTCCATAGTATATACAGTCTATGTGAAAGACTGTGTACCAGCTACTCTAATGGGACATGATGATTCAAATAAATATTAAATATTTCAAATCAGATTTCTGAAACATCGCCCAGACGGGCCTAGAATTCCAGGGGAAGTGTGCTTTTGATGAATATTTCTTCTGACGCAGATGGGGAGAGGGGCTGGGATGTTCAAATGCCACAGCATGGCTGCTTAGCAACAAGAAAGGAAACAAAATTACACACAAAAAAATAAGTACAAGGAAGCTTTCCAGTGCCTTATGACATAACTCTTTATAGGAATCAAAGCACATGTCGTAAGGATATCGATCTGTTTCTCTGGACTTCACGCCAGAGTCCGATTCTTTTCATTTTGAGATGATGAAGAAAAATAAAGGAGAATCTGGTGTTGTGGCTGCAACAGGCGTGTAAGCAAGTGACTCATCCTCTGAAAAGCCAAAAGCTGGACAGAAAGGTGACGAGAGCTCACGCTTGGAAAAGAAATGGATCAGAGAGAAGTAGCCCTAATTGGACGAAGGAGAGTCAACAATTGATTCTGAAGGTTTGAAACGTTATAAATATCTCAAGGTTCAACGACACACACTTAGCAGGCATACACAGAGATGTGAGAAGCTTTGAGTTTCACAAGACCTGTTAAGTACAGCCACGTGTCCTGCTCCAAACATCTCAGCCATGTGAGCCAAGTTTACATGTGCGACATTCACATACAAAGAACACAAACACGTGTTCTTTTTTTGTGTGTCAAAGGGCGCCATATCGCGGCCTTTGACATGCTAATTAAAGAGAATGCTGAAGTAGGATTGCATCTACAAGAACCCGTGGAGAATACAATAGCGTCTGATGAGTGGCCATTGGTCTTTATTCACGACTGAGAAAAGCGCAGCTGCAAGCTGATCATTTGAGGGACTTATTTGAGCAGTTGGTAGGCTGTAGCCTTAACACTCTGAAAAAGTTCCTAAAAAGTGACACTTTTGTTTCGTTGCATGACTTCAGTGACTCAAGAACCACCCTTGAGTACATAAATGTTATTGATAAATGGATAGGAAGCATTATAAGCTGTGTTTCCATTACCCAACTTAAATATCGCAATAGAAAACTGGTAATGGAAACACCTACATTTCGAAAAACCTCTCAAATATGGCTAAAAAGTTTTTACGCTCTCATGAGGTGGTTTTTCAGACGTGTCGATATAGAAGTATATCGTAAAAGTGTAATGGAAACACTATTCTCGCAATTCTACGTCACCGGACGTGACGTAGCGGGTCATGTGATCATGCTTCCAAGTGGGAACTGCCTCCCGGGGGCTTGACATGGCGGGTGCCACAAGAGGCTCAATAGCATCACAGTTAATTGAACGTATCCCGGGTCATCCTGAAGTTTTGAATCCACAATTCGTCAGTGATTTCCTCATTAACGATTCTCTTCCAGAAATCCCTCATCCGTGTCCGCTCCCATACATACGGGCTTTGCCTTTTAATTGTCACCCGCTGCCTTCGTCTTCTGATGACAGCATCGGCAACAGCAGTAATGGTCACAGAAATAGCTGCTCCAAAACGCAAAATGTTTAGTGTCTCGTCCATGTTGGTGTGCAAAAAGGCTTAAGGAATACGAGGTCGCACGGGCAGGGAGTTTACACCGTTGCTAGGCAACGGCCATTCAAACACGGCTCACGAGAGGCAAACGGCTCGCTTATGCACTGAACACCGTTCAATGGAAACACCCGCAAATTGCAATTGTACTTTGTCGAAATTTGATAAACATCGCATTTATTTTGCGAATAGATAGTCTTCTGCGTAGAACTTGGTGATATGCAAAAAGATTTTTCACAATATATTTTTATTTTTTTTTCGTATCAGTCAACATCGACATATATATCATGATATAAAAAGGAAATTTAACAGTGCTTATTGGTACCATGTCTTTCGCAATACAGTAAGCTACTGCATCTGTGAGGTCTTTGTGTCTCTTTGCCGAACTTAATGTTCGGCTGCACAGGCGCCATAGGCTCCTTGCTCCACTCAGGGTTTGTAACCTTTAACATTGCGCGTGCTCTGCCGTGTGGCGCTGCTTCAGTTGGTGAAAAACATTTGAGGTATTTCCCGACTTTGCAGGAACATGTACTCGACATAATTTGCAGTGCACATTACTCTGCTTCATGTTCGACCTCAAAAAACCAAAATACCTCCACACCACCGACATTTTCGTGCCAGTGTTATCGAAGATGTCGTCATTTGTTGAGCCTTTATCTGCATTTCTGCCAGGGGTAGCACTCATTTTTCGATTTTGCTCACAGACAGTGCTGTCAGCTTCACATGTCATGGTTACATTTAGCTGCAGTTGCTACTACGCAGTTGTTCGCTACTTGGTTCTAATTCGTATCGTCTACCAAAACATGGCAGAATGGCAATTATCGAAAATTATATTGACCATGTTTTATATTAATAATGATTAATATTGATAATTTTCAATATACATTGTTACTGTTTTATCGCCCAGCCCTAGTTCTGTGTCATACTGTTTTGAAAGTTCCCTTGAAACTGTTTGTGTTTTTTATTTATACAGCTGCATGGGAAAATGCCATCTGCCTCAAGCCAGTTTATGTATCTCTGTATTTCTGTGAGACAGCTGGGTTGTTGTGAGGAGATAACAGAGATCAAAGTGTGAGAATCAAGTAGAGATAGAAGGAGTGGAAAGGGCAGAAAGGGTATAAAAAACGTAGGTAAGGAGTTAGGGCAAGCAGTAGGAGGAAATGAGCAAGAGCGGCGGCAGGGAAGGGCGAGCCAACTAAGCACTTTCCTGTCCATTTTTCATCAGGCAGGGCTAAATTAGGCCAGGCTCGTCTTTCTCTCTCTCTCTCTCTCTCTGTTTCTCCGTGTGCGAGCATCTGCTCCCACATTCCCGACACGTCTCTCCTCTCTCAGCGCGGGGTAGCGTTTGCTCCGAATACCCTTCTCAGCATCCTGCCTTTTCACTGCCTCTGATTTATTAGTCGGAGGGTGCCGTCCATCACGACGTGACGCAGGGAAGCATCATGTTTTCTCTGTGTGTGTGCACTTCGCCGCTCCGTTCCAAACTCCTCCCTCTCTCCTCTCTCTCTCTCTCTCTCCTCACTCTCTCTTCTCTTTTCCCTGTGATGATTTCTACTTGTCATCTCATTTGCTGTTTCATTCAGTGACCCGCTAGCTTCTCAGTTGACCTTCGCCTACAGAAGCTCGCAATTTGTGGTCCCACAGTGTCTTGCTGTTTGAGCTGCTTTAATGAAGGGACAAGAAGCTGGTGTTTGAATCAAGGTGAACTCTGATTGTCGAAGAAGGTCCGCCTTCTTCCTTTAAATGCAGAAAAAAAAGGAGCAGCTTTCTTGCGAGTAAAAGAAAAATGTAAGGCCTTTTTTGTTCACTTCTTGGCATGAGCAGTCCTCCGCTGATCAAATCAAAGACTTCACAGATACTTTCAAGCATGAACTTTTGGAAAACCCACTTCTAATGCGCTCTAAAAATCTTAGAAAAATTAAGAAAACTTTAGAAACTTGTCTCTCGCCGAGCAGAAGTTAGATCTGTACCATACACTGTATTCTTTTTCAAGTTCAATGGTAAAGGTGCAGCTCTCGCCAGTTTCTGCAAGTTTGGCCAGTGAATTTTTTCTTCCCAAGGTTAACTTAAAATCTGGAGTTCTGCAGTTATTCTTTACAGGATTTGCTGCTCTACATAACCAACAGAGGAATGCATCGTTTGCATTAATCAATTTTATTGACATTAATTCCTGTCAGTAAGCTTTTAAAAATTGACGGATAAGAAGTGTTTAAAAACCTCCTAAACAGTAGAAACAAAAGCGACTTTAAAATTGCTTCATTAAAGCTCCTGTAAGGAATTTTTGACACGTGAAAGAGACTGAAAAACATTTTTTATTATGACTTGGAATTGCAAATTTGACCAAAAGGAGTTGAGAGTTTTCAAATGTAAAACTGTAATTTTTCAAGACTTACACAAGTATAAGGGGGGTAGGCACAAATAACGATGTATTTGTCTGTCAAAAGTCAGCAGGATGAGATATTTTGTCAAAGCAGTCCACACAAACTAATGGTTCCTTACAGAAGCTTTTAATTGTTTTATAATTGGGACAGTATTGTATAGGATCTTATGTTAGATATCCCTCATGGTTCACATAAAAGAAAGGTCTGTAGTTAATATTTACTTTTTGCTGCTGGATCTGACCATTTTTGTGTGAAAATGAAAGGACTGTGTCGTGTACTCTCATCATCAAACTAGCTTGCAAATGCACCTTCTGAACAACAGGGAACGAACTGCACCATGAGCGCCAAACTCTAGACTCCGAACTCTGAGATCAGGTTTTTGTTGGTCTAAGGTGCAGACACTTTCTATGTCCTCAAGATAGCAGCACGTCTTGTTTGCGCTTGACAATTCCCCTATCAAAACCAACAAACCCATGGGCATTAACATGGGTGCAAGTTCGTGTAACATAAGCACTTGATGTAAAAATGAAAGAATCCTCTACCAACCTCTGATTAATTGGTTGGTTCATTGGTTAATTGATTGAATGTGTCATTGGTTGGTTAGTTGGTTGGCTGGTTGCTTGGTCAGTTGATTAATTAATTGGTTCATTGATTATTTTGGTTGATTTGTTGATTGGTTACTTGCTTGATTAAAGTGGTTGGTTGGTTAATTGGTTTAATATATCATTGATTGGTTAGTTGGTTGATTGGTTGCTTGGTCAGTTGGTTAATTGGTTGGTTGGTCGGTCAGTTGATTGACTGGTTGGTTGACTTGTGAATTTATTGGTCAATTGGTTACTTGCTTGATTAAAGTAGTTGGTTGGTTAATTGATTTAATATATCATTGATTGGTTAGTTGGTTGATTTGTTGCTTGGTCAGTTGATTAATTGGTTGGTTTGTTGCTTTGTTGGTTGGTTGATTTGTTGGTTGATTTGTTGGTTGATTTGTTAGCTGGTTGATTTTTTCAGTTGATTGAATAGTTGGCTGGTTCACTGGTCAGTTGATTGACTGGTTGGTTACTTGCTTGATAGAAGTGGTTGGTTGGTTAATTGATTAAATATATCATTTAAATGGTTTGTTGGTTGATTTGTTGCTTGGTCAGTTGGTTAACTGGTTGGTTGATTTGTTGATTTATTGGTTGATTGGTTACTTGCTTGATTAAAGTTGCTGGTTGGTTAATTGGTTGGTTAGTTAGCCACATTAATAAAAAAGGGGAAAAATAATGTAGTTTCTTTTTTTTTTTGCTAATTCGGTATGGTGGAAATATAAGAAACAAACGGTGGTTTCCCAAGTCACATTTTAGTCTTCACTTTGCCGAGTTTGTAGTTAATGTCACTGTATTTTATCCTTCACACTGAAGCAGAAGTCTGAGTTCATACTGTAATGGCTCTCCCACCTGTTAGGGACCTGTTCCTTTGTGTCCTTTTTGGCCCTTTGTTGGTCTTCTCTTTTATCTCCCTGCAGACTGATGGTGGGCGGAAGTACCTGGCCATTGTCCCGGGTACATATAAGCTCAGACTATCCTTATCGGATGGTCCACACGGCAGCTTGGTTTTCATTTCGTTGGCATCTGCACACAACATACTCAACATTCTGATTTACTGACACTCTCACCTCATCTCGGTTCTTTTTTATCATATTGTATGAGTCAGTACGCGGCAGCACAAATAAACCCAAACATGTTATTCAGAATTACCTTGAACAACTGGAGCTGTCATGTTTTCATACCCCCTACAGGTACACTATTATGTGAAAAAGCCATTCTGCTAACTCCATGATAATGACACCATCGGCTGAAAACAACATAATTACACAAGGAGCAGTCTCCTGGTGGCAAGAGTTGTTATTCAGACGAAAACAAGACAATCTGGGACTTTAACTCGAGAGTTTGCTTTTCCCATTCACTCCACAAAAACATGAGTTCGAGGCTAATGAGATCACGTTAACCTAACCATTCTTCAATCGACCGGTCTCTGCATGGGGTTGTTACAGTTTTCAAGGGCACAGACAGGAAGGGGGTCATATCACAAAAGGCTACTGCCTCTCTAGGGGGGACACAGACAGACTGAGTCACTTTTGTTGAATTCTGAAAAGCACTCTTTTTCAGAGAGAGAGGCTCATTTTGACGACTGCAGAATGAGTCAGATATCAACGAGTATTGCGATGAAGTGCTTCCCTTCTATCGGGTAGAAGTCCGTTTAGGTGATGAATCAAGAACGAACCAACATCTAAGAGGGTTTGGGAGCAGTGAATGCTTTTTCTCCCCCTTAAAAATCGTATTCGCCACGCTTTGAAAGGTCAAGGCCTAAAATTGAAGCATTACACAACGCCAAAGGCAGAGTGTAACACGATTTGGCATCTTTGCAACCACCGTAGACTGTACGTCTTAAGACTGAGCAGAGATATGTCGATGCTTATCTCCAAGTGTAAGCTGAGTATTCTTTCCACATCATTTTCTCCACCCACCACCAAGAGTTGGTTACGAAAAGCCAGAAGCCAAACCTGCTACGGTGCTTTTGCATCATAGCTCACTGGTTTCACACTTTAAAGACAGGGAGCTTTATCTTTTTATTTTCTGGGACAGTTTGATTGATGACGACGGCCAAATATTACAAAGCAGATAAAAAGGAAAAGGTGATTTGTGTATGAAAGGCAAGGAGAAACTGAAAAATGAATGGAAGCTTCACTCACATTGTTTATTCTAATTAATCTGTTAATATGACACCTTGTCTAGTTTGTTATCGTACTTCTCTTCTATCGGAGCTACATGTCTGATTACAGTCCTGTCATGTTCTCCTCTTCATCAGAACTCCCCAGTCCGGTGAGAACAATGCAATTAAGTGAATGAATGAGAACACCTCAACTGGCAGGTTACTCCCCTCAATTACAACATGCTTTCCAGCTGACACCTGGGTAATAAGATAAGCAGGTAAAATGTGCTTAGTGTAAGTGCTAACAACAAGCAGGCACTCTTGGTGATGACTAAATGCCGCCGCAGACTTTGGGAAAGGGGAAGGGATTGGCAGCCGCCGCCGAGGTGTTCTGCCAATGTCGGCTGCACGCATCCAGCGCGGGTTTTTACTTTGAAACAAATCCAATTTGGGGATAAAAGTATTGGTACCATCGCCAGCATGAGAGAAAGTGCTGAGCAGGGGTGCAATCAATCATTAAAGCTGGGAAAATGATGTTAAATAATACATGTGAGGGACCTTACTGTCGCTTTTGATGAACTTTGAAATATCTGAGAAAGCAGATCACACATGAGGGGAGAGTGTGGGTTTTATTTAAGGATTACTGTCTGCACCAATAAGCCATAACGTTATGACCAGTGAGAGGTGAAGTTAACTCATTCAGTGCCAGGTTCATTTATGCAATTTTCACCAATAGAAATTTTTGTATCTTTCAGGACCCACAGAAAATCTTTTGCCTGGACTAGAATTAAGTGCAATATCTTAAAAGAAAAGGGTGATTTTCTTCTTTCACCAGAAAAAAAAGTTATTCTCTAACCCATTCCTGTGTTTAGTTATTGCCTGCTCAGTGCAGTGTGGTCATATCATTTTTGGTGATCTGGAAAAAGAAACCTGGAAAAAACACATTTTTACGAAGGAGAGACTTTCAAGCAGAACTCTGATCGTCTATTTTATTTCACTTCAAACCACTTTACCGTTGGCATCAAGGTCCTCCCTCTTTGAACACCACTCCTCCTCCGACTGTGATAGGTCACTTAATGACAGCTGGGAGTCGTACCGGCTCCCGGGAACCTGACGCCGCGACGTAAACCACACGGACTGCTCACGCCCTCTGTGCCAGAACTGTCGCTGAACTGGTACTGGCACTTGTGCACAACAACATGCAGGAAAATTGTTTCTTTGATTGTCTCCTGACGATGTGAAGGTCAGGTACCATGATCTCCACTGGATCCAGAGACGGTAGCACCGCGCCCTCGGGAGCCGATGCGCCGAGACCGTTAGCTCTTGGCTAATGACTTCGGTAATTTCCTACTCTCCTCACAAAGAACTAGAAAAGCACTCGGAAAGCGCAGACCTCCGCCAAGCAGCTCATGCCCCCCCTTAAACAAAAAATGCCCTGACCAGGATTTGAACCCAGGACCTTCAGGTTGTGAGGTGACAGTGCTAACCCCTACACCACTGTGCCGCCCATCTACACCACTGTACCGCCCATTGGTTATCTTTCAGCATTGAAAATTCCAACGACACCCTTATTTTTGTGTGTTCTGGATCACAGTATCCAGAATTTTGTCCGGATCTCAACCAAAATTTAATGGGGTCCTGGGGCTGAGACACACCTCTGGTGAAAATTTCAGGTCAATCTGTCTTTCTCTAACTTTCTCCGTAAAGACAAATAAACAAACCAACGCTACCGAAAACATAACCTCCTTGGCGGAGGTCAAAAACACTCCTCAACTTGGCTAATTGGCACACTTGATGGCACGCTTCTCACTGGCGAGTACCGTATTTTTCGCACTATATGGCGCACTTAAAATCCTTTTGGCTTCGCGGAGCACTGCAGCTACCGAGGCCTCATGGAGTTATTGAATAAGTTAAATAAAGTTTGACTTATCTGACTGTTTTGTTCGGCTTAATGCGCTTTATAATCCGGTGCGAAGACGCGACGCGAATAGACGCATTCATTGATGGTGCGCCTTATAATCAGTGCAAAAAATACGGCACTTGTTTTTGTTGTTGTAATATGGTTATGATGCATTTGTCGGCTTTTCTGCCTTCAGAACGACCCCTAACTTAGCTGCATGTTGGGGAGGAGCGCCCTCTGGTGGAAAACAAAAAACTGAAAAATCCGTCAAAATCCGTCAATGGCACTGAATGAGTTAATAATATTGATCAAGTCTTTACAACAGCACCCATCAGTGATAGGGATTTTCGATATCAGGTACAGACTGCTGATCTGAATAAAAAACTATGAGGTTAAACTAGAGGTCAAAAATCTGGGACCTACGCCCCAATCATTCACAATCTCTCCTCCACCTCGCTCAAGTTCTGTGGTTACACCGAGTGATGCAGCACTCAAACTGCTCCATTATCATTGTGCCAATGTGTCAGTACATCTTTCACAGCGGTGACTCACCAGGAGCACCGAGTTCGTTGATGACAGCTTACTATGACGAAAGTCTGCACCACAGAAAATCTTTTCGAGAACAGACCACTTTACACTTCTCCCGCAGACCCCGACACCTCGCCTCAGTTTATAAACCTAACAATGCTTAGTCAGGGTTAAAGGCCAGGCTTATGTGGTATTTGAATTCAATGGCCGCATAAGAATTTTTCCTTAATTAGCAGATCATTGCATTCCTGAGGCAGTTGCTATCTAAGTGGTGCATTTAAATGACGATTCATTTTCCATATTGTGATGTGTAATTCCCAAAGCTTTTCCCTGTGAGTGAACACAAACACACAGATACCGTTTTCTTGCACAGTTTCCCTGCAGGAGTCTTTTCACCTGTGGGAAATGAGCGCAACACATTAGATGTGTGCACTCGTTCAGAGGGTCAGCATTGAGAGAAATCTCTCTTAATCAACAGTGCAGAGGGCACAGAGTGAACCAGTGCTTCACAGATCCACACTTCCAAGGCATTATTCTGACAAAGTACTTCTGAGGCTGATATTTTGTCTGTTTCCACCCTCACCTTGGCTTTGGGAAGTGTTTCAGATGGTCAGATCAATAAATGTTATGGCCTTTGCAAATATTCTTATATCGATTCTTCACGCAGGTTTTCGCCAAGGCTTTGAATCTATTATGTTTTTTGGGGGGAGATTGCATTGACGCAGATTAATGGCAAGCGAAAGCAAAACCACGGGTGACAGCAACAGTTTGCAAACCCTTTTTCTTTTATACATAATGTATAAGCACACTCTGTCTCAAAAGCCAAAGTGCTACTGATAACTTTTCCAGGTCAGTGCGATTCTAACATTTTCAGGCATGCCTTTGGCACATTATGCCGCAGCGGGAGGTTGCCAGTGTCATGCACACTCTCACAGCTTGAAACAGCTGGTTTTATACGGGGGGGAAGACGGAGCCTGGGTAAACAAAAGAGACTTTTTTTGTTATAATGGTTAAAGTTTATGGGTTATTATGACTATTGTGTCTACTGTATGTGGAGGTGTCCTTAATCAGGGGCCCGTTTGACTTGGGTGGCCCAGAAGAGACATACAGTACACCCCCTATTAACCCATTAAGACCTGAACCCTGTCTGAGACACGCCTCTGAAATCCTGAGGGCCATATTGAGAAGGGCCTCCAGATCCTGAGGTTTTCTTAAGTGTTGAGGTTTACAAAAAAGCTGATATCTCGGCCTCTGTAGCAGATAGAAACTAAATTAAACAAGTATCTGAGAGATAATACGTGTGGCTTTCAGGAAAACTATCTTTTATTTGTGCAAACTTTCATCACATTATTGAAAACCTTGAACAAACAAACTCAAATAAAATAAAGCTGCTGTATGAATAAAAGTAAAGACTCTGCACTGGAGAATAACAAACAATTTGTTGTCTGTAAAACAAGTGGCAGTCATGATAAAGTGTCCATTCAATACAAATGTAAATATAAAAAATAAAGTGTTGAAAGGGTATGCAGCTGCCCTAGTATCGTGCCAGTACAAAAGCAGCACTAAAACCGAAAAATAAATAAGTGGCTGACAGTGTGTTCATCTCTGTGCTCACCCAAAGTCATGCAACACTCAGATAACACCCATAATGTGAGTCAAAGCACTCCATATGAAGAGGTTGTTCACACTGCTTACAGCCATAGACTGTAGGTCCACCAGCTCTCTCATTTTTAGGGAGAAGTTGACCAAAAACATTCCTCTCATCCACAAATCCCAATCTCCTGGTCCAGAAGGTTCAAAATAGGGATCATCACCATCATCATTTCTGTCAATATCACTACCTTCGCTAAGGCTGGATGCTTCTCTGAAGAAGCTACTCTGCCTCCGTCATTGTTCACTTTCCCCACGGAGCACATAGCAAGATCCGAACATGAATCTGATCGCTTTATTAAGCTTTATTAGCCTATCAGTGGCAGTATGATGATTTGATTCGCCACGACTCCAGAAATGATTGAAAAACTACAGAATGTTACAGAATGACATATCCACACTGTGCAGTCGCGCTCCCGGCTTGGTAGGTTGAAATGCGTACATGCTGTCCCGGTTTAAATAGGTTAAAAGTAACGTATAACTCAATGTCTAGATGAGCAAAAGTACAATCTCCAAAGTTTTGACAAAGCTGAGTTTAACATAACATTTTATTTACCATAAGATGAAAATAAGGGTGATATGATAACTAAAATTTAGCTCTGCTTCGAAAACTTTGACTGGGGTGCACTTATTTTTGCACCCTGATTTTAAATCGGAAAAAATACTTTTTTGTATAAAAAATCTTGCATTTGGAGGAGTATTTTTTTTGTATAGTCTGATGTACAAAATGTTGATTTTGAAAGGAAACTGAAGGTTTTCTGACAACCTAAGGAGTGTACTCATTTATGCTTAACACTGTAGGTGGCATTATATATGTGGATCTGCTTTGACTGCAAGAATTTGAGTATGTGTAAAAAGTAGGGCTGTCAATCGATTAAAATATTTAATCGCGATTAATCAAATTGTGATCATAATTAATCATGATTAATCGCAAATTGATCGCATATTTTTGATCCATTCTAAATCGATCTTTTTCAAATTGTTATACTTTTATCAACATAAGAATCAACATGAGAACAGATCGTGGATTTTCATGGTAATGGTGGTCCTACAAGGTAATTCATATGTCCAGTCATTGGATGCGATCCGTATGCGGGGGGGGGGCCCTCTCTGCATCAGCTGTGTACTAGACGTACTCCGGTGGTAACTAAATTCAGCTCGACAGGAAACACAAATGACTGTCCTGTCAAGAGAGCAATCTGGCAAGGCTTTGTAGCTGAACTTTCCGTTCAAAATAGTGTTCTTATCCATTATATCCTAGTTACTGCTCACGTGAATTTGTTTATGTCTGCTGCGGTATCGGTCAGTGCTCTACTTTCTGATTCGCGAAACTACGGAGTGCCCCGAGGCTCACATAGCTCACCAACTGTTCCTCTACCCTTTTACAACGGCAAGAATATCCACGCAGTGTGTGTATAGTTTGGTCAAGCCAGGCTAAGGCTTGCGTTAATCGTGCGTCAAAAAAATTAGTGGCGATAAAAGTCACTCGAGTTAACGCGACAATAACGCGTTAACTTTGACAGCCTTAGTAAAAAGACACATTTACCACTGTCTTTCTTTTCTGTAACATTTGGAAATCAGGACGCTAAGTTTCTAGGGTTTCAAAAGTGACATGTTGTCCCACATAAAGGGTTTCAACTGCGCAGTAGTTCACATTTGTCAACGCTCTGGTTTCTATCTCCTTAAAAGGCCATCCTTTGCCCTTTTCCATGTTGTTGTTTCTCAGGGGAGGCTCCTTTCCAGGCCTTGAAACGCTATTATGATCGTATCCGTTTCACCCTCACGGATATACCAAAGTTGTCAGATTTCTATGAATCTTCATACAGATTCACAATGCGCTTCTACATCAAATCCTTTTCTCTTTGTAACCTGCCAACCCACGATCATGTCTGTTGCAAACCAACCTAATTAACTGGGTGATGTTCTTGAAAGTGTTTTCTTCAGCAATGACACCAACATGCTCACAATTATGCGCTGGCTCTCCCAGACTATTAACTGCATCCATTTTTTTTTTTATAATGGGGATGGCACAGAAAGTCAGCTCAAAGTCACAGTGTGCCTACAACAGTCAGAAACTTTAAAGAGTGCAGGAACATGTCGATGAGGCTTTACTTTACACACTTACACTCATAGACTATAAGAGAAACCATCAGGAATACGACGTTTCTTATCTAACAGAGTGTAAAGACGCTCCCTCCCTGACAGGGTATTTGCATATCTAAACCATACTTAATTGACATTGTCAGACATCATATCCAGTCTGTGTTTCATGCTGTACAGATGGGATGTAATTACTGCTAATTCATAATTAGCACCGCGTGTCTTGTAGGAATGAGGACAAGCAAGTTGTCCTTTTGAAAAGTGTAAAGCTCACAATGTTCCCACACTAGAAAAAAAGAATGTATGTATAGTTACAGATGCCACTGCTTGCATACTAAGCAGGAATTGTTCTACGTCTTCAGTACTTTATATAACTTCCAGGTGTACTGCTGACACTGCCAGATGGACAAACCTGAACCGCACGATGCATAGATTCAGCGCCGAGTGAATACGCTCTCTGAAAGTACAAGGCCAGGGTCAGAAAAAGGTGACTGTACTGTCAGGACGTTGCGTTCAAAGTGCATTCATCATGTAAACCATAAAAGATAACTAGCTTTAACCACACTGAGTGAATCTTCATTATCTAACGCGTAAGCTGCTGGGCTTTCAGGCTTATTACTGTCGGCAAATAGGGACCAAAGCTCTCTGTAATTACTCCGCATCCCCAGTGGGTGATGGCGGCATTCTCAGGGAGCTTAGCAGTGGCTTCTGTGTAGCTCTCACCACAGATCGGCTGGGGGGATACAACACATGCTGTTATTAGCTTTTTTTTTCTTCTTCTCCTCCTCTCTTTGTACCCTGCTTGTTTTCTTTCTGCACCGTCTCTCCCGAACACTCCCTTTTGCAAATCGCACAATCGGCATGCTAATTACTCAGAGACAAGTAAGACATAATACAAGCAAAAGATGTAACCGCTGTATTTGACCTTTCACATGAAGTGAGTGGTAGTCTTTCAATAAATAAAAACAGCTACAATAATGAATTGGAGCTGAAGGTCACTGGGAGGCTTTCAAAGAGGGAATAAAGGATCAGAAAATATGGAAACATAACATGTTTATTCTTTTTGAATGGCGAGTCCTTCCTCCACAAAGCCCTACCAGATGGTTTCACTTGAGACTAAAGTCACACATATTTACAGCTGATGGACTTCTGTTTTCAAAGAGATGGTTGCAATGTTTCAAACCCAGTTGAAGATTTCATTTTTAAAGATATACTAAATACTGTAAATCTGCAATTGTCTGCGATCAATTTTACCAGATCATTTGGCTCGGTGAAAAACAACGCTTTTGGCTTCCACTTGGCTCGATATGGATGGTAATTGTCTTTTTTTCCTCTATTGTTTTACACATTAGCTTATATTCAGTACATTTGTCCACTCCCATGTTGATAAAAGTATTTTAAAAAATGAAAAAAATATCCCTCAAAGGTACATTTACAATAGGCAGAAAGTTCGATTAATCTCGAACTGGTACCAGCCATTAATGCAACTGATCAAAACAGGTTAAAATGAATAATTTGACAACCTTCATTGATTTTATCATTACTCTGGTTCAGATTCAAAGCTGTTATCATACCAGGTTACAGGGTTTCTGCAGGTGTCAACAAGTCAAATTTAAGACTTTTTAAAGACTTTTTTAAGAATAAAGTTTAAGATCCATTTGACATCAATACTGGCAAAAAAGTACAAAAGACATGAAGGGAAATCTGAACATTTTAAACTAACCTTAAATCAATCTTTATTTGTAGGTAACATTAATACATTTTTAAGACCTTTCAAATTTGTATTTAAGACATTTTATGACATTTTAAGAGAATGTTAGATGTTAGAATGTTGGATTTTAGACGTTTTAAGAGCTTTTAAAGACTCACGTCAATGAAAATTATGTTTTTCTTGTTGTCTAAATGTTCATATTGCATTTTCCTGATGCTAGAGGACATATTATGAGAAAAAGAAGTGCAAAATTGCATTGCCGAGTATTTCTGCATTTAAATCACTGTGAATCTCTGGCAGACCCAAATGGCAGTCTCAGGCAGAGTGAGATTTCGTATGTAACCAATCCAAGCTCCACCCCCAGAGCCCTGCTATGCAGGCCAGGCTTGGAGAAATAGAGAGGACGACTGTGGAACAAGCGTGTGCGTTAGCTTGTAAGAAAGCTAATTGTGATATTAGCTTTCACTGTGTCCCTAAAGACAATAGTGTCCGAGAGCTGAATAATACCTATGTTACCTGCCACCTCTACTACACTGGCAATGTTAGGCTACAGGCTAACGTGAAGAAGAGTGTACAGAGCAGCGCTGTCTCTACCCACGACTCAGAGGCGAATTGCTAATGAGCTACTGGAGCTCTGCAGAAGAAAAGCCCTTGAAAACAACACAGGTAATGCAGTTTTTGGTGAAAAACTTCATAATCACAATTTAAAGACCACTGAGAACACTTTGAGTAGTAAAAAAAAAATCAGAATGGGACTTTAAAATAACTTCAAATCGGTCTGGATTTGTAAGTAACATCAATACATTTCTAAAATTTTTATTTAAGACATTTTATGACACTTTTAGAGAATTTAAGACATTTTAATGCCTTAAATTCAAATTATTGGATTTAAGACGTTTTACGACTTTTTAAGACCCAGCAGGAACCCTGGGTTAAGACTTTGCATCTTAGGCCCTTGGTCCCAGGTTTAACGGAACAGGTCCAATACCTTAGGTTTATTTTATCCATCAAGTCTTTAATCCAAGGATTTGGGTTCAAACTGTGCTATTTTTGAATGATTTTATATCTTTTGAATTTTAATAATGAACGTCATGAAATTTGTTGCAGTTTGACAGCCTCCTGCTGAAGTAATATTATTCAAATTAAGGAGAGAAATTTGAATCATTTTTTTTAGATTAGTGAGAGAATAATGTGCTTGACCTTTCGTCTGTTTTCTCTCTTAATCTACTGCTTGAGACGTCTCACATGTTAAAATAATCCCGGTGGCTTTTCTCTGAAGACAACACGAGCTGTTATTAAGAGGGAAATCTCTTTGTCTTCGCTGACTGAGTGTTATTCTTACCTCACCACTCACAGTCTGGTGTGAGTTTTCCAATCAGCACTTGGAGTCCCAACATGATCCCACACACTCACGCTGCTGTGGATTTAGACACGACCGTGATGTCCTCAACATGTCTGGCAACACAAGTGACAAATATATTTCTTTTCGTGACAAGAAAGCTATTTTCCTTCTCAGACTCTCTGTCCTCAGAATGAGCCGATCACAGCAGGTGAGCGTTTCTTTCATTGTCGGGGTGGCGAAAAGTGATTTACTGCGACACCTGGATTTCAAAAGTAGCTTCATCATGACTTGTGAGGATTTCTGCGTATGTAAGCGATGGATACAAATAAGCTTGCCTGCCTAGGTGCTATTGAGGACTTACAGTAAGGGAAGCAAATCCACCGTGACGACTCTCCAGTCTCGGGGAACCTTCAAAACCTCCACCGTCTGTGTCTGTTCTCTTCATGAGCTGTGGTTTCATCTGTGAAATGAGAATGCAAATCATATTTCCTAGTGTGTGAGTGTGAACTGGCAAGGCAGAACATTCAATTCAGTCTGATATTACCAACAAGGAAAGAGGGCAGGAAAAGTAAAAACCCTGTGCTGTGTGCCTGTCACAAGTACAATAGTACACGACTTGTAACACAGGATGTGAGAAAGGTTTATTCTGCTGATTGCCACGCTTATTTTTTTTGCCGTGAAATCACACTGAGTGAAACATGAACGCACAAGTCTATCTGGGACTACTTTACAAGGACATACTGTAATAAAACATCCAGAATTGCACCGTTTTGTCTGAATCTACAGACTGCACTCACATTAGACAAGAACTACTCGTACCAAACCTCTGTGGATATTTGTCCTCGCACTAATTTTAACCAGATTGTGGGAACTGATTCCTCACTTTAGGAAAATAAAGTCCCAGAATGCCTGGGCAGAGTTGTGTTTACACTCACTGCCATGGCTCTGATTTGTACCAAACATTGCTGATGCTTCCCAGTCTTCTCAATTCATTGTTGGGGTTATTCCATTAAAGGTAGTATGATCAGGGAGAGATCGCTGCTGGCTGTACAACACATTATTTCAACATCGCCTTTCCCAGAATTCCCAAATGTCTTCTTCTTGATTCTTCCCAAAGAGCAAACAGTTAAAGATTCTCCAGTATGAGACATCAGGAAACATGGGCTTCCTCTCATCCTGCAGATAAACCAGATTTAATCTCCTGACCACGTTGAATCTCAGGTTTAAACCGTCCCCCTGCAGTTTTCCAATTTGGAAGGCATTAGCGCCAGAATGAGCAGATTCCCATTTAATTGAAATTCAGAAAGACACCATTTTGGAGATATTTAGTCTGGCATTGGACTAAACCCAACATCACCAAATATCCTTGAATGATTGCCATTCCACTGAACCAATTTCAAACCAGTCATTGGAGCTTAAAAAATACATAATACTTGACATCTTTGAGATTAACCCTTCCCTGAGACACGTCTCACTGGTCCTTGCTGCTTCAAAAGGATCAAATTTCCTCTAATCCTGCATGTGCAGTACTTTACTGAACAAATTCAGCCCTGGTTTTGCAGCTTTTGCAGTTTCAAGTTTGGAGGAATTGGTGCCAGCTCAAGCAGATTTGCAGTTGGCTGCTTTCTGACGATTTTGGTTTGAATACTGGGACAGCTAATCGCTTTTTGAGTCTAAAACAGAACCAGTGTTTGAGAATCAAGACCTTTTTGCATTTCCTTTTTAGTTTGTTGGACTTTATGTACTTCCATTACTTGTACTAACCGAGCTTTGTTCCTGCTGATTTGACTTACCCAACTTGCAATGTTTGAAAAAACAACTGCAAGGCTGTATCGTTCCAATCAAATTCAGATATAATGCAGATAAATACTTACAAATGGGGCCCAGTCAACGTGAAAGTAAAAAGCATTGGTGCCACTGTGGATGTCAACGGACTACCAGCAAACACAATGGTTGCAGGACTTCTACAACTAGGATAAAGTGACATAGTCCAGGACCCGAGGTCAACAGTTTAGCGGCACTACAACACGCAGCAAGTCCCCTTTGACAAGAAAGACTTCTGTTACAGACACTTAGCTTACTTTGTTAAAGCGGTTTACCTGTCCAGCAGAAAGGTTACAGGGTCAGTAAGATCTCGAAGCCTTCCCCATCGTTTATGCTGATGTTTACCCGGCTTTTAAGCTCTTGCCCGGCTTTTTAAGCGCCTGTTACTCCGCCAGAGTCTCCTGTATTTACTTCATTTTCTTGCTTGTGTTGGCAGTCGTGGCCAAAAGAGGATTCAGACAATTTTCCGTACTTTCTGGTTGGTTTTTTACTGTCCGATATTGTAGCACGCTAACTTTGTTTCATTATTCGAGGATGTGGATTGTGCCTCAAAACCAATGGGCACTAAGGACCAGCGTCCACTTCACAACCAATCAGGTTGGGGGAGATGGAGAATGGCTTTGTTTACAGTCAGAAAGAGCGGGCCCTTTAAAAAAATTTTAAATGTTGACTACACAGACATAACAAAACACAGCGATATCTTTATATTCTCAAATGTCATCATTGACTAAAAGCTTTTGACTGATATAAAAAGCTTTTTTGTATATACACCACAAAAAAAGATGCTTCTTTAACAGATTTCTGCCTACCCCACCTTTAATGCGGAAATTTCCACGACAGAGTCATGTCTGCTTTTTTGCAGTACTGCCTCTATCTAGTATTAGTTTGTGGAGATTCTCTGATTTTAACTGACATGTTAAACCTTTTTAAAGCATTTCTTTAGAATTTGGGTGGTTTCATGCTGATATTAAGAGGTATAACTTTCCAGCACTGACCTTACATCCTGAGCCAGTTTCGACCAGCTCCCTGTACCCCCCTCCTTGTTTCTGAAATGATAAGATTTACGACTATGACCTCCAGATACATTGAATCCATCCATGTGTTTCCTATTGCTTGTTTGGCATCTTCCTTTTGCAGGCAGCTAACATCCATCAGCCTGTGTGTCTTGACCTGCTGGCTTTAACCTTTCACTGAGACCTACTTAAACATCTTGACAGCCAAAATAAACCGGCGCCCTTGGCCTGTTGTAACTGCATTCACACAAACCTGTGGGGACTGACACGCATTTAGTAACCTTTTAAAAGGCCACTTAAAGACTGTAATACTCCCTTCAGTGCCACAAAAAGCTTGGCCTCGATGGGGATGGATCCTCTAAGCACAGAATGACTATATGCAACTGTGAGACAGCAGTTCAGATGGGGACGACACTGAAAAGAGACACATCTGCGGCATTAGAAATCTATATTTCTCGTTCGAATCCCTGCAGGATATGAGTCTTTCCAAGTGATTTCATGGAAGTATAAACATTTATGAAGTACACTCTTCTTCACAAGGAGAGTTTGTGCTGATATTTACTTTAATTTATACCCAAGGTTAGATTTCTGGGCTTTCACTGAGGCTGCGGGGAGAGAGTTGTAAGGCTCTTACATGCTGCCATTTCAAAACTGGTTATTTGCACTCCCTCATATGTAATGTGCAACACTCTGATGCTTAATGGCAGGGCATAGTCACTCCGAATGGGAGAGGAGATGGATGATTTGCAGCATTAGAGACAACAGGGAAGAGAAGCAAGGTACATTGATGTGTGTGTTTTAGTGTGTGGATAAATAAAGGGATGTGAATTGTCTTAAATATTAATGGATGGATCATAATGAGCCTCAATTGCCAACATATTTTTATGATTTTACCTCATTTTTTAGGGAGTGCTGGACGATTAATTGGATTTTAATATGATTTCGTAAAAAAACATTATAATCATTATAATGCACCCCTGTTACGTGCAAGAAGTGAGCAATTGAAAACATGGCAGAAAGGCAGGATTTGGTTGAGAAGAAAGGTAGGACAACTTTTTGGAAACAAACTTTTAGGAAACATTTTGGCTTCAATTTGACGGAGGTCAAGCAAAAGAAAACTGTTTGCAAAGTTTGTTACGTTGTCCTGTCTGCTCTCCAAGGCAACCCAACCAACGTCAGGGTTTCCTCTATATGCAATCGATCGCAGCGCACCGCCAAGGCTAAATAAAAGTTGCCACATGTTAAAAATTAGTTGTTGTTTTTGTACTCATATGTGTCAGTAAATGTGCACACACATGGGTGCTGCACCGTAGAGCACATGCACGCCGAGTATTAGCATTAGCAAGTTATTGTCGGCAATCACAGAGCTGATTATTTTTTATTTTTTTACTTTTTACCTGTTACTAATTTTCTGGGCAAGTTAAGTTTTGGTGGTTAAATAAATTATCAGGTTCTGAAATCAATTAATAATCAGTCAAAACAATCGTGATTATTATTTCTGTCATAATCATCCAGCCCTAGTTGCCGTCGGAGGGAAGCCCAGACGGCCCTCACCCCAGCCTCCTCCGGGGGGATTCCCAGGCGCTCCCAGGCCAGACGAGAGATATAATCCCTCCACCTGGTCCTGGGCCAGCCACGAGGTCTCCTCCCAGTGGGACGTGTCTGGAACACCTCTAATGGGAGGCGTCCAGAAGGCATCCTAACCAGATGCCTGAGCCACCTCAGCTGACACCTCTCGACGAGGAGGAGCAGCGGTTCTACTCTGAGCGCCTCCCGAGTGTCCGAGCTCCTTACCCTATCTCTAAGGCTAAACCCGGCCACCCTGGGAAGGAAACCCATTTCGGCCGCTTGTATCCACAGTCTTGTTCTTTTGGTCATTACCCAAAGTTCACGGCCATAGGTGAGGAATGGCATGTAGATTGACCGGTAAATCGAGAGTTTCGCGTTACGGCTCAGCTATTTCTTCACCACGACTGATCGGTTAAGCGTCCGCATCACTGCTGACGCCGCTCCACCAATTATCCCCTTATCAACCAATGCACCAGGTTTTATTTGCACTATCCCTTTAGTGGATCCACTCTATGGGGCTTGACTCACTAGCATTGCATAACAAAGATGCATCCAACTTTAGTCCCCAAGTAATTTCTCATGTCCCTGTCACTTGCAGTGCCTCGCAGCATCCTCGAAACATAAAGCACGCCTGATGTTTTGATGCCACTTTTAGTTTTAGGAGATGCAGATTCAATTTGTAAAGTTTGGCAATGTTTTCGTTGATGCGCTTGTATTCTTCAAAGCTAATCAGAGGTCGGGTCACGTGCAGTTTTGAGTTACACCCAGCGGAAGCACTTCGGAGTGGTGGTATGAGCTCACTTGCCGCACTTCATTAATACACTTGGCCTGTTTGATAGTTACCAGACCTGTGGAAAATCCATTAGCAATCACAATCACAGACAGGCAAAGCCGATAAACCAGTGCCTCAAGTGGATTTCTCCACGCCCCGTTTGCACAAATGTGAGCACACATCACAGCAGCCGACAGACAATATGAGTCGCAACAACATAAAATTAACCAAATGAACTGAGATTTAGCTCACGCCATCGTGGCTCCATGACAATAACTGCACCAGCTGCCTGAGTCATTTGAGTCCCTCCTCGTTTCTCCAGCTGAACACTAAACACAAGCTTGACTGAAGATACAGGGCATGAGTAAGCACACAAGTCGACAGAATACAAAAGGATGAGAGGAGGATACCTCATACAGAGAGCCTGTGGCTTGTTATTGAGAGTGTGCCGCCGGCAGCAAGCTCCTCGCAGATTCAAGATGACATATGGTAGTCGGAATCTGGGGTATCGCCTCGTGTGTGACTGTAAGTACACGTGCTGGGGTTTGGAGAGGCACTGTGTCATATTTGTACGGCTTATTTGAACCTTTTATCAAACTTCCAAGACACGGGCTTCAAGAAGAGACATTTAGAAAGAGAGTCCATGTGCTTTATGGGTATTTATTAGGGGTGGGAGAAAAACATCGATACAGCACAGTATCGCGATATTTTGTCTGGTGATATATCGTATCGTCTCATTTACCGAGTATTGATTTTTCAAATTAATTGTTAATATGAAGGTGACATCATAGAGCAGGAGAAAGTTAGAACGAAGGGTGTCAACGTTTGCAATTTTTTCTACACGTGTAAACAGGGCTTGTCGGTGACATGTCGGAGATCTCTTTCTTTGGCAGTTGAGCTATAGAACCACTAGAAGGTTCTGTCTCCATTCAAGCAACTCCTAATCCCATTAAATCAAACCATTCCAGTGGTAATCAGACAAAAAAGTATTCTTGTAGACCCACTTCAAAAAGGTACTAAATTATAGCCAATTTAACAGATTAATCACAGAACTTCATTTAACAATCCAAGGCCTACTAATGACAGAAAGTAATGTGAGTTGAAAATAAAATCATCTATCATTTGGACAGACAAGATAACGTACTTTGATATCCGTGAGCAAACTGTCGCTCTGCGGGAAATTTCACGGCCTGGCTCCAGGTATTTCATTCCGTCATCCTCAACCATTGACACAGGTATGCACGTCGAGGGCCACCATTTCAGCTGTTAAGTTGCTGATATGTTCACTCCGTGCCTTGTCACATTTCTTCGCCTTGTTGTATGTATAATCCCTCAGCAGTCTCCTTCTCCAACTTGTTCGGGTGTTACCATCGCAGGTGGTTTCGCATGGACCCCGTTCTGTTGTTGGAAGACAACTTTGCCTGACATAGCCTACACTCAACTTGATTTCCACAGGCAGTGTTGTTGAAATATATTCACCAATTCACCATTTCTATTGGATGGTGAATTGGTGAATATATTGGTGAGAAATGATCAAGGAGAAGAAGAATAAAAAGATGTGTAAACGACTATTGATTTTTCTAAACGGTAATGATTTGTTATCCATGTATCCATTTACACGTGAAGATGTTGACACTCCTAGTTAGTACAAGAAATATATACAAGTTCACAAGATGTGCTACATGGAAATAAAATACAGTGTAAATAAGTGAAATAAGTGAAAAAAAAGTATAAATCATTTTATATTGTATTGCAATACTCACTGTATTGCAAAATGTTAAAAATCGGAACAATAAAGTATCAGGATAATATCGTATTGTGGGGCCACTAGTGACTCCCATCCCTAGTATTTATGATCAGCATTTTGTGGTTTCAAGGGAGACAATACCAGACCATATTAACATGTTAACACAGGCAACACTGGGGCCGATTTTTACTTTCAAAACTTTAGAAACCTGCGTCATTGGTTCCCTAATGTCTGCAGAGGGTTTTCAACATAATGGTCTTGAAAAGCATCAGAAAATAAACTCTTAGTTTCAACAATTGATTTGTTTTTTTTGGATCATCTGCGATTAAATAAAAAAGGGTTTTGAGTGATTGGCAATTCTTCACAATCTGCCTTTATCAACGTCTCATATTGGGGGGGTAATTGGGGTTGAAGTATTTGGTTGTATTTGTCATGTAAAAAAAGAGTGTTTATTTCTCCCCTTCAAAGCCTCTTCGGTTCTTTCTGGCAGTGAAATAAAGGAGTGTTTCAGAGCCTGAATACATCACCTCCGAAAACAAAAGCCGATAGAAGTTTCCAGACTTTTTGACTTTCATCTGTTGATTTGACTGTGTTTAGCAGTGTGTGGGCACCATAATATGGCGGAGACAGTAAATGGAAATCTTTGTTCCCAGCAGCTGAAGGCAAAATCTCAGATGTTGGCAAGTCTTTCAACACACCAACAAGGACAGTTTCCAAAACAGCCTGCCTGCAGCCGCAAAACGAAGAATAAAAAATGTGAAAATCTAAGTCATGGATCCCTCGTCTAAAGCTTTGCTGAGCTCTTCTATTTTACTGCCTTGCTTTAATGAATTGAATTCAATTGCTGTGATTAAATGAAGGTTCAATGCATTACACTTAACTCAGAGTTGCTAATGCATCTGTGGATGTATGTGCCTGAGTGCATGTGTGTTACGTAATGTTGCTCCTTGAGCCTCCAACCTCTCTGTCAGCCTGTCTGGCCTCTCTGTATTAAACTGTAAAGGCACCACAGGGTGCTGACGGAGCTTAAACCTTTTAGCTGACTCAATGTTTCACAGTCAGGCCCACTTTGCCAAACGCCAGACAGATGTATCCTCTCCCCAGCCTGGCCTGTTATCACCTGACCAAAGCAGAACTGCACTCGGACCCATAAAAAGCAAAGAAAGATAACGGCTGGAGCAGCGACTGGAACTTATTTTACGACTGATGTTTCTACCGAGGGCCTGGACGGACATAAGAGGGAAAAACTTCAACACATCCTCTATTTTCCTCTGGTTCTAAATCCTCTCTTCGTATCTTTGTTTGTGGATTTTCTCTTCCATTTTAAAAAGCAACAAAAGCAGAAAGAAATCTTATTTGGAACCTTGTTTACATGTGATTTTTGGAGGGGATTTTGACAATCATGGCAGACAGCCTGTAAGAAATCTCGAATTGTTTGAACATCCCATTTCCAATATGACTAAATTATTCCTCAAAGAGAATAAATGCTATGTATCTCTTGGTCTCGCTCAGTGGGGAAGACTCTTGGCTTCTTCTCTAGCACCTGCCCACAGCACCAAAACGACCACTACACTTGTTTTCTGACTATGATATGACTGTACTCCATTGGTCAGCCAACTGAACTAAAGGAACCCAATACCCAGAGCTTTAAAACACACCTTGCTGCAAATCAAATCTGCTTACCTGTACCTCCCTCTTCCTAAACCACCATTCTGCTTGTCCAGATCTAGGACCTCAACCCATCCAGTCTAAACAGAAGCTCTGTAGACTCATAGGACCTTTTGAAATCTTATAAAATCTCTCGGTCGAATATGACTGAAGAGGTCTCGAAATCTTGTTGTGTGTTTCCTGACTGACAGCATCTCCTGAAAGATCCAAACCCTCTTAAATATCAGCCAAATGGGAGTGATTCGGCGGGTTAAAGGTGGCTTATGTAACCCTTATCCAATATACTTTTTGTCAAATTCAGTAAATATCACCTCATGCTCCACCGCCTGTCTGTGTGTGCACTGAAAGTAAATATACAAACAGGTCTAGCTCTCTGTACAGCAGATAAAGTAAAAGCAAAAATATGAAGAGAAGTACCTATCAAGGGTTGAAATATTAACAAAAGAATGAATATGAGGTAAAGTAGGATTGTGGTCAAGCCTTCGATTCCTGGACATTGGAAGTAAGCTTGGAAATGAACCTGAATTTGACTCTGATGGATCTGAAAAGAAAAGTCAAAAATGCGAAAGAGGACGGCGTTTCAAGCCCTGTTGGAGTAAGCTCTAAAAATACATCTATGTTCACCGCTTCAACAAATAAACTAAGATAGCTGCTTTGATCATGCTCAGAAGAGAGCCTCATGCTCTACCATCACCTTCTGGTCATTGTTTCAGTTATTTCTCAGCTGATACAAGAAATGGAGACGCAGTAAGCAGAGCTGAGTGGTTTGTTGAGCTGTTGAGCTTAAAGACTTTAACAGAATCATGTTTTTTACCTTCAAAAAAAGTGGGAATATTTCTCCACCAGAAGTGGTACCAAAATTTGCCGCAAGGGATTCTTGATAAATACATGCACAGAGCAAAACTAGGCTCTTCTCCAAAACAATCCTCTCGTGAGTAGAAGTTCAAGAAAGACTCCGAAACATTAAATCTTGCCGGGAAGAAATCTGTCTTTTTTTTTGCAAGTTTTTAAAACATGTTGCAAATGCTTACAAAATCCTTGAGTGGATGTCTAAGTGATGCGTTACAAGCAGCGGAAGTTAGGCTGATAAAATATGCATGCGGAGAGCTGCGCGCACAGGATATAAAAGTTCAAACCTTGTGGTTGTTTTCTCTTTGTAATTTAAAAGTGATAAAAAAAAGGGAGAAAATAGAAAAGTTAACTTGTTTTTTCTCCCCCCCCTCCTTTTATTTTAAATTTCCTTGTCTTTATCTTTAAGTAACAGGTCATAAAATAATTCACCGGCTATTTCCTCTCTATAAAACAAGATTACAAAGCAAAAAGGCAATGAGACACTTAAAAGGCAGTCCTATAAAAGCGCACATTAGCAGTAAAAAAGAAGGAGCAAATTGGCAACAAGTTATCTCTAAAGATCTCCACATGGGTAAATATAACAATAATTAAATTTTCTACGGCTGCCTGTTGGTCTGAGCTCCCTCCGCTGTGTTTCTGTCGTTGGTTTTTTGTGCAGCAGTCGGTTCAGGATCAATAAGAAAGCTGTTCTTTCTTTTCTCCTCCCATCTAGTTTCCCTTCCTCTCGGCTGTGGCCTATTTTGCGAACTTGATGGGAATCATTTCTGCCGTTTTTGATTGATGACATTGAGCGAAGGGCGAATTATAGCTGAGGGGCAACAGCTACCAGGATTTCAAACCAAAGTCACCTAAGCAAATGCAGCATCCCTATCCTCATAAGCCTGTTCCTGAACACGTAGTTTCAATGTCAAGGACCAAGGAAAGAAAGGATGAGATATTTGTTTGACAAGCTTAGACAGATTTGCGATTTAAAAACCTAAAAATACAACTGAAATTGTGTCCAAACTCAAAGGATATTAAAGCTCCTGTAAGGAACTTTTGGTCTGTTTTTGTGCCGCCCATGAACAAAGCTCTCACCATTGTTTTTGTCCTCTAAACATGTTTTTTTCTTTTTCTTTGTATTTTGCTCCCCTGCATCTCTGACACCGACCACCCACCACTGGTTTTAGACATTCAAACTTTACAGAAATATTCACTCTTGTTGATATTGATCTTCTATGCATTTTTAACACTTAAAAGGGATATTCCGGTGTAACATTAATTTAGGGTCAAACACGCTATAACACTGAAATAAACACCCCCTCAAGAGATGACTGTTGCTGACCGCTTGCTTCTTTAGCTATACCAACTTTAGTCATGACCGCACATTAGTAATACACAGCGGCAGCTCAAGGAAGAACATTTATGATAATTTCTTCATGGAAATACAATCAGACAGAGACGCTAAGGCAGAAGAACTACCGCGACTGCAGTGCAAAATGATTAATATGATGACTATTACTTCAAGGAAATGATAAAGAAGTTATTACAAATGTTCTTCCTTGAGCTGTGTCACCCCACTGTAGTCTGTAATGGACTGGCCTGAGGTCTCACTAGAAACAAGCGGCTGCTGGAAGAGAGTAGGTGAGTTGTGTTTATTCTCTTTGCTAAAGAAATTAGGCAAAATTAAAAAGATGTTTGGTGGCTAGTGCTGTGGCTGGGACCCTATATGTACTGTTGATGAAGTTGCTGTTCTGAGCATTATTTGTGGCTATAGAGTGGCGCTTTGGTTGAGGTTTGTTTATGGCTCCGCAGACCACTGTGTATTGCTATCGTGCGGTCGTCACTAAAGTTGGTATAACTAGAGAATCAAGTGGTCGACAACATTCATCTCTCGAGGGCGTGTCCAACTCGGTGTTACGGTGTTTTTTTTTTTTTACCCTAAATTAATTCTACACCGGAATATCCCTTTAAGGAGACATTTGTACAATTCCAATCCACTCCAATCCAATTTGCTTTATTTATATAGCATATTTTAAAAAACATTCAAGTTTACCAAGGTGCAGTACAGTAAAATTAAAAGAACAGACACTGCAGAAAACATCAAGAGGAAATAAGTAAAAGCAGGAAAAAAGATTTAAAATGAAATAATATAAATGAAATAAAAACGCCAACACATCGAAGAAATAAAAGTGATAAAAATGACCATAAAAGGCATAAAAGGACAGAGATCACACAAATCTCATGCTGAGCTAAAAGCCAAGGAATACAAATGAGAATTGAGACATGATTTTAAAGTAGAAAGAGTGGGGGATGTTTTAATCTCAGTGGTAATTCGTTCCACAGTTCCAGCCTAAAACTCATCACAGGAGCTTTAACCCAATAATTAAATCAGCTTTAATCACACAGTGTGCTGGAAATGGACAAACGTATGGGGCAAGTGGGTGCCAGGGAGAAAAAATAGATGCAAATTAGTGGGTTTGGATTACAATCACTCTGCACAGTTGGTGTAAAATTATACTTTCCGAAAATAACAAGCAATGTTTTTGTGCTTTTTTTTTCATTCACACACCAAATGCTTGCACTCAGAAGCATAGAGTTGAAAGTACAAGAAAAAGATCAAATATTGTCTGATGAAGGCCGACCTGTAACCTTCCTCTGCTTACGTTTCTGTAATGAGACCTATTTTGGCGCCAAATGGTTATAAATGTGTGAAAATGAGTTAAGATTTGAAAAAATACTAACACGTTTAGTCAGAAGCAGCTTCATATCTTGTATATTTTTTACAAGCAAATTGGATGTACACACTGTTTTCTTTACCTTGAACGGCTCCATTAGCTTTACAGTTATGTGCCAGAGGGTGGGGGGGTAAAGTATGAATCTCAGCTCAATAAAGAAAAGGTCTGCTGCATTTATCGAAAGAGACGGCGACCATCAAAGCTCATCACACAATGCGTCTCCATGCACACAGAGTATAATTGCTCACAGACCTTGAAGGATGCACACATGATAAGGATTCAGGTGGAATAAATAACCTGTTTTTTTTTTTTGTTTTGCACTGGAAATGCAGTCAGTGTGCCTCCAGGTAGATTCAGAGCACCTTATAATGCTCAGGTGCAAAAACCACCAGAATAGATTCGCTGTTTTTAACACACGAGAGCATCTGATGTCTAAATTTGCATATTGTTGTCGGTGTGTTATTGTGTAAGCTTCAGAACGTATTCACATACATAAAATGTCTCTTCTCAGGTGGCTGTTTTTGTGAAATCATGTGGAAATAAAACTCGCACCAAACAAACATTTGTTGTTCCTCTTGTGATGTAAACAAAAGCTCATATGTGGGTAGTTTGCACCCTGAAAACATGATTAAAAATCATGTTTAACACACTATTGATTTTTGCATATCTTTATTATATGAATATTTACAAGTACTCTTATAGTTATGAATACTAAAAATGTTGTGAGATGAAATATCTATGAACGCTCCTATTCTGAAGATCTCAGCTCGTCAGGGCTGTGTGGGTGTGCTTTGATCACATTTTCAGACCGGCTTTGGCTGCGACGCCACAACTGTTATCGTATGTTGATTCAAATATTGATAAAGCCTCGTGCTCAGAATAAAGCATCGTGTTTTTCCCGGCTGAGCCCCATCCATTTCAAATCGATGAGTAAATACTGAGTATCTCTCCATTCAATTTGTTTACAAGGTTGAAATGACTACAGAGTTTTGTTTGATTATTCTGTACGTTTGAATAAATGCTGTGCGGTGTACTCAAACGCTGTAAAGCTGAGGTGAGAAGATCCATGACCAAATCAGAGGCTGAATAACAAACAAGCTTCATTTCCTTTTGAAATGAAGGATGAGGCATCCATGATTTCCAAAAGGACTGTCAGATATTGATAAGGCAGATTACAGGACAGTTTCTGTGTCTTTCATTGATAAATAAGGATGTGACGTACATGATTTCCAAAAAAGAATCAATTTTTAAAGTATTCACTACAGGACAGTTTTCTACTTTCTTTGAAATGGAGGATAAAGCATCCATGATTTCCACAAATTCCACATTGCGATATTAAAAAACAGGAATTTTCACCAGATGACCTGAATAGCACTTTATGCTGCTGCATTGCTGAAATCTTGTGGATAATTAACCTGCACTGATCTCACCTCTTTTTGTAAATTTTGTGAATGAGTTAGTAGAATGATTTTTGTCTGTCTTAGAGATATTTTAAGCTTGCTTTTATTGTGCTGGGACGTTATTGTGGTGACAGATGAAAGGCACTGCCGACACAGAACAGGTGTTTAGTCGACATCATTCTTTTTGTAACTGAAATAATTCCAGATAACTGACTTTCCTTTTATTTTCAGCAACAAGTCTGTGGTTTTCTTTTGTTCGTTGATCTTTTTGCAATCGTTGCTGTTGTTCCTGGTGTTGTGCCGAGTAGATTGGTCCACAGAAATGTACGATTTAAAACCCATACAGTTCTTATTTGTCCGAAAGTAATTCTCAGTGAGCATACGTCTATCAGCACAACACCGGCAGCGCCAGCGACTCACTCCATGTGCAGGCCATGTGAAGGGGCGTGGTTTCCCCTCTCTGGTTTTGCTTGACAGCTGGAAGGGTAATCTAATTGGCAACTGAGTAAAGAGCGAATGTGATTGGTGGATCGCTGCACAGCACATGCAGAGTCACATGCAGTTTATCTCAGTCAGCTACCCTTGAAATTAGAGGAGTTCATTCGCCTCCGACATCGTGGTCACACCACAGGAAAGTTTTCTACTTTCCATTCATGAAGGATGAGGCGTCCATGATTTCCAAAAAGACAGTCAAATGTTGAAAAGTCAGACCATAAGACAGTTTTCTTCTTTCTTTTCATTGAATAAGAGGACGCGGCATTGCGGTAAAAGTAAATTGCATTTGATTTATAAATCGCACACTAGGACACCAATATTAATTGCTGGGTTGAACTTCAAAGAGTACAAGCCAAGCTGAACCTCACTTATAAAAGCAAAAGTTACTAATGTTGACTGAGGTCAGACTTGTCACCTTGCACAACTTCTCATTTGATTGAACCTGTGGTTGGCCAGCACTTCAGAAAACTGAATCCTTTAAAAACACTCAGTGACGACAGGTGGTATTCGTCACATAATTGGACTTCTTTTCAAAGACTGGCAAAGCGTCTAAAGATGTGGGAGGGTGAAGAAGTAGATGGAAATGACATTAACCAGAGGGTGCTATTACCTATGCCCAAAACCTCAACATCTGCTGTTGACTATGAGAGAGGTGTTACAGTGGGTGAACTTTGCACAGTGTGATTAGAGGGGAGGAGTGAATTACTCATAGGAAGCCAGAGGGCAGCGTGATTATGCTTAGCTCTGGTGAAAGTGTTGCTTTCCAGGTAGAGAAAGAGAAAGAGGTCAGCGTTTGAAGCGCTAATTAAGGATTTAAACCCGGGCGCAATCTCTGCAAATTATCCGCACTGCGTTTTCCCACTAAAGATGCCTCTTTTGGTTTTTGTCCACCCAGAACCCGCAGGTCCGTTTTCCATTCTCCTTCGTCTTTTCATGTTAAGTTTGTCAAAGCATGAACAATTGTTAAAGCACCGCGCAAATTGAATGTGCGTTTTTTTTAATCTCTCTTTTTTCCTCCTAACGTATAGATCCTTTCAAAATAATTCAGATCAGAAGGGTGTGAACGCCGGTGCACACGAGGCCAGATTTGGAATTAATTTGCTGCCACATTAAGCACCACCAACACACACTCTGTCGACACATATCAGTAATTACGGAATATATTAGGAAGATCAGAAGACTCGCCATGATCCGCGGTGAGACCGGGCCAGCTGTTTGCGCTCCGAGCGTTCTTTGGTCTCTGCATAATCATCAGTGTGCTTTTGCATAGGCGGCTGCTGAGGCTGCACTTCCTGTGATGAGCGGGCGGGAGGTGAGGGATTTTTTTTCTTTTCTTTTTTTTTTTCTTCCTTTATGATTGTTTTTCTCTTTCCTCTTTTAAGCTCGCCCGCCCCCGAGCACCCCGAGGTGAAGTGGTTATTAGTTGAAATGTGCCAGGAGTTAAAAACTGCTGCCAGCCAGAGTCTTTAGAATAAGAGCCTGGAGTTCATTTTTTTACCCCCAGCTCTACAAAAGGATCATCTGACACTTCATCTTAAGGCAGATAAGGCTACGGCAATGCTGTCGGGGATGGATTGCATCTCTGGCACGGCTAGGATACAAGATAGGACTGAAATAGCACTTAATTACCTTTAACTTAAAGAGGATCTGCAGATATTCCACTTTAGTTTTGGACAGGATAAGTGAGATTATACGACCAGAAAAACACAGGAGCAATCTGTTACAAAGGCGTAAAAAGATATGCTGGTTGTATAAAAAACAAAAAACAAATGGCCAAGCTGACTTTGATCAAAACCTCCCCTGTCAGATCATCTCCTTTGTCAGCCGAATGCAAATGAGATCACAGAATTCTCTGTTTTGGGGGAGAGTATAATTGAGCGATAGTGCTGTTTGGCCTCCCAGTGAAGCAGGGCAATTGAAATCCTGTGGCATGAACAGCTTGGATAGAGAGCTGGACGGCAGAATTATCGTCTCTATTATGGAGCTCATGGTCAGTAATGGCTATTCGGACTGTAATGGCTCAGATGGTTGATAGGCTAAAAGTGAAAATGGCCACCATTTGATATTGACCATCACAGACTTTCATCATCATTGAGTTTTCATAGCAACTGCACACCACATGTACTGTGTGAGGTGTGCTTCATCTTCAAATACACAAACTTTTCTACACAAAAAAAGAAGGATCAGCTTAAGATATTTGAAAATCTAAAAAAAAAAGTTAACTCTTAAGAACTCCGCTGGATCGCAGGTGATCCCATGTGACACCATTAATTTTTTTACAGTTTCTCAGGAACTATATCGTGTATCTCTAAGGGTTGAAAAGTGTTCAAAAGCTTACCCTTTTGGCGATCTATCGAGGGTTTCCAGACATTTCTACACCTGCCACAAGGTTTACATTCCAGCCACAAAAATAGGTGTTTGATCAAAGACGTTTGATGGTAAATCCGCAGTGAAATACCGGTGAAAACATGATTATTTATCATATTGTTGTGATAGAATAAGATCGCTATCGCTAAATGCTGCTAATGTCTTCAATGGTTTGACAAACTGTTTTGATGATGTCTTTTTCTGCCGAACTTTTGACCAATTACATGGGCTCATATTCTTCTTCTATTGTTCCCTTGATGGTTGTGTCCAACAAGAGGCAACCAAACATCAACAAGAGACAAGAAAGTTCCCTGCTTGTCTGCACAATAAGAAACAATGGTCCTCAATGCTTGGAAACAAGCAAAGAAGAGATTATGAGCAGTATGATGTGGCCCTCTGTCTCATCCCAGACAGGAACTGCTTCAAGGAGTGGCATAAACAACTGGAAGAATCAGTGTAAATATGTAAATAGTTTCTGTTGTGTGTTTGTTCCAATCCCAATATTTCTTCTCCTGATAGCCAAGACTTAACAGAATGATGTGCAGGTGAGAAAAGGCTTGGTCATTGTAGTTTTATGTGTTTTTTTAACAAAGTCCTGTTGGTATCAATTTCCATTTTTGTTTTTTGGTTGACTTTAATGGTTCTGAATCTACTGTCACATTCATTTTACATAATTATCGCACCCATAAACTCTAGCTGAGGTTGTCCTGAAAAAAAAAAGGTGTATATATTTGCTGTGCTTTAAAGGATAGAGTTGCTACACAGATTTTTAAAAAAAAAATTAAAATTAAAAACAGGAGGACTAAAAATAATCAAATATTGTTGGGAGTTCTAAGAGTTAAAATCTATCATTTTGGCTAAAGGACAAATTCTTTTTTCCCCCTTTCCTCTTAACTAAAAGTCGACGAACTTGATTACTTCTAATTGGAGGAACAAGTTCTGAATTTTTCCAAAATCTCAATCTGTTACTTGGAAATAACCACATCAAATATCCAGGTTAGATCACAGGAAGCTCATGCACAATAAACCACAGATTTAATTTGCTCAATCAGTGTGAAGAGGCTTGGATTTGGAGCCGAGGGGCTACCAAGATACTCTTGATTAAGACCCTTTTTTGCATGTGTGTATTTCAGCCCATTCGTATGAAGCATGTTCAACACCAAAGCGTAAAAATTGGATTTCAGCCTCTCGTTCCTCTTTGGTTTGAGGCAGTGGAAATATTCAATGATGCACGGAAATGAGGATGGGATGTGCAAGCATATGAAGTCATTATTGTTCAGACAGATATCCCCATCTGATATTATGACATGGTAATGTTGAAGTATCTCATGTAATACCATATAGACACTCAATACTGTTGTACTGCCAAAGCTCTGTAGTGGAAATCACTGCATGGGCTCAAAATCCCCTCTAAATCCAACTGTCTTGGACGACAGTTTGCAAACGCAGGTTGAAACGGAACCATGCATCAGGATGGGGGTGGGGATAAAGTTGGTATTCTGGCAAAATTCTTCTTGGTAGTGTTGTGTTGTTCGCAAACGATTTGTTCAAAAGAACCAAATCTTTCAAGTGACCCTACCGAACTGAATATCTTCCTCAAGTGATTCGTTTTTTTCTCACTTCAGTTGCTATAGCACGCAGCAAAGTCAGGTGAGCAGCCAGCAGACGAGGGACCGCATTTAGAATTCTTCTAAAATTTCAGTGAACGCAGGCCCGGCGGCATGGGTGGGCACTGGGGGGCTGTGCCCACCCACGGAGTCAGCTGTGCCTGCCCTTGTTTATTTGATTCAGGGTCTGTTTTTTTTCCGTCAGAGTAGTCTTCTTCAGTCAATCCCATATATCTTGACATGTCATCAATCCAACCAATCCAATCGATCGAAGGCAATGTGTTAGCTAATTACAGGTAAAGGGGGGCAGGCCACTTACCAAGTCAAAGGTCAAATATTCATAGATGGACTTGGCGCGGCAGAAGGCGGACTCAGTGGTAAGCACCGGCTTTCTATTAAAAATGGATATAAAAGGTTTTTTTGTTGGCCAAAAAAGAACGACGACCACTGACAGGAGCTAGCAGAAAGCGGTGGCAGCACTACAAAGCTCTAATTTTAGGAAGCTAAGCACTGAAGCTAACAGTCACACCAATCACTTCTTTGTGCAAAGCATGACATGCACAAACAATATGAGCAAGAGGCAGCTAATGCGACGTTGGGAGCATTAGCTTTTTGGAGCTAAAGTTAGCAGAAACGTCACTAACGTTGTCACGTAGCACGTAGGTTTGAAGTGTTGGACAACAGTGCTGCAACTCTCTTACGGCATAACCTGCAGATTGGTGTCAGGTTGACCTGCTCTGTCTGTTTTGTGAAGCTGTAAAACGTCCGTACTGCCGACGAAACCTTTTTAATAGGAGGATACAGCCGAGGCGTTTCGTCATTCTCAGTCTCCGACTGCTCTTGGTCCAGCTGCATCGTTACGTTGGCTGGAAGTTTGAACGTGTGTCAAACTTCAAACTGTTTCTGGTTCACAGAGGGGACACCCTCCAACAGTGCTTTGTGTGGCCGCAATGCATTGTGGGTGGCCACGCATTTCTTGTAAAATTTCTTCATTTTCTCTTTTAATGTTCCCGTTTTTGTTAGGCTGGCATTAATGTACTCAATCCGAGAGTTTGTTTTGGATTTGGGACGACTTTTGTGGTGGTTTGTTTGTACATTTTGCCACCGAGGCTTTGACACCGTGGGTAAGACTACAAGCGGGTTAGGTTGGTAAGCAGTCGGCTTCGCTCGCCTCCATTGAGTGACGCTGACACTCGTCTTTAAATTATAATTGTGGGACGATTATTACAGTACCTTACGATTTCATCACTGCAGCCGTTTAATATCGCATATCGCGATTAATTTGTATATCGGCACATCCCTAATCACCGCACCAGTTTTTAACAGTCCAGTAGAGGGAATTTCCTTGCACACACCTGACCACCTGTGACTAAGCATTTTCTGACCCTCCTTTAAAAGTGATGCAGAAGGGACCCGAGGTGGTCCACAAATTCCTTCTTCTTCTTCTTCTTCTTATTATTATTATTATTATTACGATTATTGTTGTTATTATTATTATTATTATTATTATTACTATTATTATTATTATTATTATTATTATTATTATTATTATTATTATTATTGTTATTATTATTATTATTGTTGTAGTTGTTGTTGTTGTTATTGTTGTTGTTGTTGTTGTTATTATTATTGTTGTTATTATTATTATTATTATTATTGATATTGTTCGTGTAGTATAATTTTCTTTTTCTTTTGCTTGTCTGACAATTGTAATATTTATTTATTTATTTATTTTTTTCATTATTATTCACATATATAATACACACACACACACACACACACACACACACACACACACAAAACCACAAATGCCATTGTTTGTTGTATGTCTTGTATTGTCACACTGCACAAATAAAAAAAAAAAAAAAAAAAGTGATGCAGAAGACGAGGACTCCTCCTTGAAGCAGATGACAGTGGCATTTCTCCCCTGCCTCTTTAATAAGCCCCATTTAGCACTCTCAACACTCTCACACACTCATGAGTAAATACTTGCACACTCATATCACTTCACGAGCACCCTCCCCTCTCTTTTTCCCCCTCCTCCTCCTCTTTCTGTTTGTATTATTTTCACAGTTAACACACATGGCGCCCTCTCCCATCTTGAGTTCAGCTCATTTATGTCCCCTGTGATGAATGTGTCACACCGGCGACACTTAAACCGGAACGCACGTTTACACGCACAAACCCCCGCACATAAACACAAACGGCCTCCGCGCGCTCCATTCCCCGTGTCCGCTAGCCACAGCGAGATCTGATAAATGGTTTTCGGTGCAGGTGCTTTTTTCATTAATACACCCTCACGTAGCTAGCCTCATAGTACCCTTCAGCTATCCAGCATATTACAAAGAAAATAGACAGAGGCAGGAAAAGAGTGAAGTCGAGAGAAAAAGTGGAACACAATCAAAAAAGAAGTCTTTTTCCCACTCCAGGACCCCAGGTGTTTCTGTTTACCGGGACATTATTTCAGATAAATTTGTCCTTTTACTTCGGAGTTAACACTTTTATTTTTTCATTGGGAGTATTGATTCGCCGATAGGGAATATCTGTATTGAGCAGCGTGTCACTTAAAATGATGCATGAAAGGATCATAGGTCCCCGGTTCGCCATAGCACACCACTATCCATTTGTGTCGTTCCTCTCGCTAATATAAGTATCGGCGTTTAGAGCGAAACAGCCTCTGCAATTTGTCAGCTGTTCTTTTGTGTTCATCGTTTTGTTGTTCATCACTACGATGCAGAGGAGGAAGTTGCGCCACCGGAGAGCAGAGGTTAGGAAATAAAGGTTTTATTATCCGACTTAAATATGAGGGATGACGAAGATAAACAACTTCTGTAAATTTTGCATACAGAGCCCCATCCCCATCCATGTTTCCTCTCTCTCTCTGAGTTGAGAGAGCTAACCTCTCCCGCCTGGTGTATTTTGGGAAACGGCCTTCTTCTTCTTCTTGGGTTGCATAGACGGAGCCGACAGAAATTAATAATGCGATCTACCTGGGGCTGCGAGAACCGGATTTAAGCTATCGATCCAGCACCCCAGTGATTGATTAAGAGACTAAATACAAGTTCTTTTCAATGTACTTCCTGCACAGAGGACTTTCTGTGTAACCTCTAAAAGTCTGGGTTGAGATCGCGGACTGTTCATTTGTAAAAAGGAGAAGTCGTCTTTTGGCATGAGCGGCACGTAGGGTTAAGTATAAAGTAAGAGCGCAAAGTGACGTTTATCTCAACAAGCGAAAATTGTTTTATTCCAGAGCCGCCTCGCTTCTGATGTTTGAATAGAAAACACTCCAGTCTGTTATATGAAGTACTTAAGAGTCCAAGGGTGTGCTTTGATGACAGCCTGTGCTGCTTCAGATCAGGGGCAGGCGCTTGATGTGTTATGCCTTCACGCCCGCGGGGAATTTGCAGCAAGTAGTTGACATATCCCACCGGGTGCAGATCCTGGGGCTAACCTTGGACTTTTCATAGATTACAATGTCTCTCCGCTGGCCTGAGGACAGGTGAAACTCCCCTGGGAGGAAGAGGGAGAGGGGAGAGGGTACGTGTGGCCTGCTCTTAAGACCTGCTGCCACGGTGACCCTCCCCAAAGGAAGGGAGGGAAAAAAAACGACAACTGTGCCAGATGTTGAAATGTGCAGAAAAGGGGGAATGAAAGCCGCTCCCTGAAGGATTTCAAAAATGTTATCAAAGCCTTTTTGAGGGGGGAAGAAAATGAGCAGAGGAGCTTAATAATTCAGTTCTCAGTGTACAAACAAAGCAGGATCTAAGACCATCTCCTTATAGATAATGTATATACTGAGGTTTCTGTAGATGAGCTTCAATCTCATGATGTTTGCTTTACAGCTGCATCTTTGTAGAGTAACAGTTCCAAGAAAGAGATTTGGTCCACAGCGAGACACTGGCGTATGTAAAGCTTTTAAGCTCCCGAACATCCATCCTCTGGTGCTTTTTGATGCCTGTACATCTTTCTATCTACAATTGGACACAATGTTGCGAAAGATGACTGTGATTACAAATCCTATTCTATCTAAGAAGCTTTCTCTCGGGTTCAAGCATTTTGTGTCATCCAAAAAATAATACACACGAGTTAGCTTTGTAGCGCAAATAACGCAGTTAAGGGAGCCGCTCTTAGAAATACATAAAGCCGGTTCCACTTTTCTGAAATTGAGGACTATTCTTGGACCAAACACAAATTATATCTCATCTTATGTCAGGGAATTTAAAGTCAGTTCTGTGAAAACACTCTAGAAATGTGTTTGTGCTGACGTATGTGAGTGGATTAAGAAAATGTCAAACACTTTGAGATTTATATCTGCGAGGCTGGATGGTCGCGAACTCAAAATCACTACACAGATTCATGCCGTAGATTACGCTTTAACAATTAGTTTGGGTAAATGTGCTCATACATAATTCACAGGGTCTGCCTATGATAAAATGCCCCCTAATTCACTCATTTACTGATTGTATTGGTCAAAAATAAACAGATAAATTGAGGCAGGATGTGAAATTATAATGAATTGATGTAAGTCTGCGAATGCTATTTACCAATGCAGCAGGTAAAATGCATTTTAAAGACTATTTTAATAAACTTTGCTAATATTCAGCTTTATATTCTTTATATTTGGTTTGTAATATCTTGAAATTAGAGTTGCATCTTGACCAGACCATTTTACGGCCCGTGGATGTCCCTGTTCGACCCTTCGTGAGATCCGTCAAACAAATTATCACTATGCTATACATGTGTGGTGCTTTTATTTTGAAAACCTAGCCGTTGTTTTATTTCCGTTTGGGCGCACGTGTGTACATCCTAGATCTGCATTTGTAAACATAGGAAAAATTTACGTAGACGCCTTATAGTGGTCAAGTCTGCTTGTTATAAGAGATAACTAGTAGTTGCTTATTTAACCATGACCTGGATGAATGAGACTCTACATGGACTTATTTGGGCTTGCTTTTCTGTATGTGTGAGCCCCCCTGATTTGAAGTTGAAGTTATTGTTGGTTCGGCCCTCCAACACAATTCAGGTTTCTCATGTGGCCCCATGTAAAAATTAACTGTCCACCCCTGATCTAGACCTTTTAGCTTTACAGGGCTATGTGTTTTGTGTTATGTGTTTTGACTTAAAGGCACTAAGATGAGTTTTTACTGGTCTAGAAACAGTCTGAAACTAGTACGATTTCATTTTTTTTTAAAGTATTTTTTTATTTTAAGTTTTTTTAAGGAATTTTTATTTTCAGTATTTTTTGCAGCAATTTTGCCTTTAATTGATCGTACAGGGCGAAATGTGGGGAGATAGAGAGAGAGGGGGGAGGACATGCAGCACATGGTTGGGGCCAAACTCGAACCTGCAACCGCTGCGGGGACCGTGGTCCCCATACATGGGGCGCGCTAATCAACTCAGCCATCTATGCGCCCCCTACGATTCCTTTTCTATGATTTTGAAAAGCTAACAAGAAACTAGCAACAAGGATAAAAATTCTTTTATTTTAATTTTTAATGCTTAAAATCAGTGTTAAGGTCCTTACACACTGAGACTGCTGCAAATACACAACATGAAATTACGAAATATTTTGAGGTGAATTTTGACTACACACATCAAGCGCGATGCGATTTTGAGACTTTCCAGAGGGAAAAAAAGATGCATCCTGGGTGGAAGCGAGAAGACTGATACAACAGCAGACTGACTGTTTTTCAGTTCTGATTAAACACTAGTGTTGAGATGGCTGTCTGTCATGGTAGCATGTACTGAGTCGGGGCCAGTACCAGATAAGCACATTAAACTATAATCCATAAACGTAAGGTAACAACCAAGACCTAATGGTGCTGTGACAGCAACGTGATTGAGTTTGAGACAGTGAAAATACATATGGTATGTTGTAGCTGAACAGGTTAGCTTACGAGCTAAAGTTACTTAGCACAGATGAAAGTTAAAACAAAGACGTTTAGAAAATTTGACCGTGATACGAAAAAATAAATGCTGCAATATCGCAGGACGGGGCAATGTCACTGATGTGAACGCTTGTATTGACAGGATACAGGTTCGAAAAAAATGTTGACATCCGAAATAATCGCACGAAAAAAACGCTCCCGGTATGTAAGGACCTTTAGGGGGTATGGTGAGACGAGATGATTGCACAACACCACCAAAAGCCTCCTCTGCTTGGAGCTCAAGGACATCCGTCTTGCCGTCGTAGGACAGAGCGATCTATTCTGATTTATTTCTTTAATACAGATTCCTTCAATTGACGTGTGTATTCAAAACAGCCACCTCCATGTGACAAGCTCTCTTATCAGCACAGCGGAGAATGGAAGCATTGTACACCAACCATGACAAATGAACTGCACACAGGAGCATTATCGGCGCTCTGTCATAGAACTGAATGACTGGGTCTATCAGCAGTCAGTCTGAGGCACTGGGGAATATGTTCATTATGAGGAATTTGAATTTTTAAGAAAGTCGTGAAGGCTGCTGATGAAAGTTTTATCATAATGGCCTCTAGGTATATTATGCTTCTTTCTTCCAAGAGAAATTACTTGTATGGTAATCACGTCGTCTGTTTTTGATACAGAAGTCATTTGCACAATAGGGCTGACGCTTTTTCTTCCATTTTTCTCGGTCCGGGCTTTCGAAATAAAAACGTGCCACAGGAGTCTTTTGAGAGACTGCCACAACCTTCAAACCGGGGGCCGCGTGATAAATGAAGTCAACTCTGTCTTCCTTTCGCCGCCTCGTCATTTCGGAAGAATTAATAAATGAATGAGTTTGACTCATGGCCCGAGGAGAGAAGTCTTTACAACAGGTGAAAAACTTGGCAAAGTTTCTCTCTCACATTGATTAGTTTAATTAAGTATGACCTTTTTTTTCAAGTACCATACACTTCTTAGCAACACCAGTATGCCACTGTGGAGATCATTCAAAGAGGGAATTTTAAACCAAAGTTGTTCAGAGAATAGACTTGTTTGTTTGCTGTTTCTGTATTTAGGGGGTAATATATGTTTCTTTGGAGGTAAAGATGGCAGCATCATGAGCGCCACAGTTAACACACACTCCCAACCCTGAGATGTGCAGCCGAGCCCTGTTTTATAGGAGGACGTAAATGTGATAAAACTACCTTTGAATCCCCTTTTGTTCGCCTTTCCATCGCATAGATGCTGCACGTTCTCCTGCAAAACAACCCGAGGGAGAACTAAAGCAGCAGGATCTCCTTTTAAGCATTTTTTTTTCTTTTTTTTTAAGAATAAAAACAGATAAACACAAAACATCCGTGTGAAATGATTGCGTTTTATGCTTGGAGGAAAGCTGCCGGCGACTGCTCAATAAAACATTCCTAGATTCCCCGTGTTAAGTCTTAAATATGGCCTCAACCATGGGCAGACGGCGGGGATTAAGACCCAGGAATGTAATCCACCTTCGGAACAAGCGTTAAAAACTATGATGTGAGCTCTGAATGCAGAAAGAGACATCAGTCCGCACTGTAAGGATAGGACGCATCTGGGCTTGTGTTTTATGTTTATGTAATATCTAACATGATAAAACGCAAAAAGTGGGTCGTGTACAGTACATCAAATTTACTGTAACACTGGATAAGCATGAGATCACTCTTAGAAATCTCATACACTCTGCATTTTTAATAAAACTGGTGCGAAGAAAATAAAACCTGCAGCATTCAGTATATTATGCTTTTATTTTGAAGGTTTCCAACCATGATTGCTCATAACTGCTGTTCGCATCCACATTATATTGAATTTAAAGCCTATACAATAAGATTTAAAGGGTAAATTGTGATTAAAATACAAACTTAATCTGTATAAACTGCATTTTTTTTTTACAATTAAGAACCTCAGCAGAAAATGCAATGTCCCTGTACAGACTTATAACACTATTTCCAGCCTACAAAAGGTGCAAAAGGTGAATAATTATGCAAAAGCCATGTTCAATCAGCCACACGCTGTAATAGGTTTGTTATTTGAATGTACTGTGTTAGTATGAATACAGAAAACCATTTCCAAAGGGCGAGGATTAGTGTGATCACCCAGTACTTATCTCCACACAGCCTGGGTGGTAAAGGATTTCCTGCAGCAGTTTTTTTTTTTCTATGAACGAGCCAGCAACCAGGCAGCAGGAGGAGCTTAAAGTTACTGAATGGGATATGGTTCAGCTTAGACAGGATTTTGTCAGCTTCATTCACAGACTTTTTTTTTTTTTTGGTCCACATGATCATTACTGTCCTCTTCTCAAGGGCGTAATATTGCCACAGTGGCTAAAACTCCAAGGACGTTTGTGAATTTTCTAAATTTGTGTGAAAGTGTCAAGATTAAATTCCTGAGCAGATGTGATGAACTGGAAATAAATACCAATACGTTTATGACAAAAAAAAAAAAGAAAGGAAAAATCAGATGGTCAAGTGTGGATCTGGTCTGGCATTTAAGAGTTGTCTGATAGATCAAAAGATTTAAAAGTAGATTGGATTACCCTATAAGGGGAGTCAATCCTTAAGGGACCCCTTGAAATGGCTAAAAACACCCTTTTTGGGACAAATCTTTGGCAAGCCGCCACAACAGTGCCCTTTAAACTTTTAAGCATAAGCCGAATCACTTTTCTCCGGTCTGGGGGTCTTCTTGTCTTTTGCCAAATTTGAAGTGGATTGGATTATCCCCAGAGGAGGAGACATTCATTGAAAGACCAATGAAAATAGTGAAAAAAGCGTCTTTTTGCAAGCACCTCTTAAAAATGGAAGGTCGTTTATTCATCTGTTTTGTTTGTTTGTTTGTTTGTTTTATTCTTATATTCAAACAGCTCTGCTTAGCCATTTAGCCTCGCCCACCAAAAACAACAACAACAACAAAAAGATTTAGCCCCACCCACCAAAAAAATCCAACAAATCATCTTATTTAGACAAGTTCTTTTACTTAGCCAAGCTTTTAATTAATTGGGGTTTTGTTCGTCTCTTTTACTTATCTTTTGTATCTGCACTTATTTTCTGTACTCATATGTACTGTATTTGTACTTGTGTATGTATCTGTAAAATTAAAGTTACATCTCGGCCTTTTAGCTCTATGGGGCCTTGTGACAACATATGTTCTGACTAAAAGCCACTTTGAGGAGATTTTACTGGTTTAGAAATAGTCTGAAACTGAAATGATTCCTTTTGGGTTTTTTTTTAGTTGTTTTTTGGGGGGGGGGCGATTTTGCCTTTTGTTGATAGTACAGAAAGAAATGTGGGGAGATAGAGAGAGAGGGGGGAGGACATGGAGTACATGGTTGGGGCCGGACTCGAACCTGCAACCACTAACTTAGCCATCTGTGCACCCTTATGGTTCTTTTTTCTATGATTTTGAAAAGCAAACAAGATCTTGGCAACAAGGATAATAATTCTGTTATTTTCATTTTTAATGCCCACCAAAAAAACATTTTGCCCCGCCCACCAAAAAACCCAACAAATCATCTTATTTAGACAAGCTCTTTTACTTATCTTTTGTATCTGCACTTATTTTCTGTACCCATCTGTACTGTATTTGTATTTGTGTATACATCTTTACTTATCTTTTGTACCGTTTGTTTATCTGATTGCACTTATTTTATGTAAAGCGCTTTGTGATTTTTATCTGTGAAAAGCGCTCTATAGATAAACTTTTACTTACTTTTTTGCTTACTTATTCTCCATTGTGCTCAAATTTAAGATTTTGACTACTTAAAGCCCTTCAAAAAACTACTTCCTGTTTAAGGTTTGTGATTAAACCCTTAGATGCTTATTTCAAGGTTTCGTTACAGGCACCTGGACGACCAATCACAACAATTAAGAGATACTGGGAGATGACTGAGCTGCTGATCAGTTTCAGAGGCATTTTCTCCCTTGAAGCGAACTACACACGATTCCGACTTCTTCATCCTGACTAATTTAGATTCGCTCAAAGAGGTCTGCAAACCTGGCAGCACTTTTCATTTCAAAAACACAACAACAAAACTTTGCACTTGAGGTTCTCATAGTGTCATCAGGCTTTCAGGGTTGTTCCTCTCAGATCCGTTTGATCAGTCGAGCTTCCCTTTAATTAGAAACCGACTGCCTTTCCACTGATTCTTCTTACCAACATCTCCGTCTCCACATTTACTCGAACATCTTCATTACAGGGATCATCAATCAAAAATCATTTTCAAATATCACACAGTGACGGTGCAGCTTAACACGGTGATTACACCCCACTAATGAGAAAATAAATGTTGGCCTGTGTCTGGATGAAAAATCAAGGCCTGAGAGTGGCCGGGCAGCCGGGACAACACTCCTCTCCGAGCTGACATTTATAATCAAAGGCTGACATCTGTCATCTCTCCCCAAGGGGCCTTGTCTGTTGTGATTACAGCTCACATGATGCCTATTTGCATAATAAGTTGACCGAATGGCAGTTTCCTGGACTTTCTCTCTTTACGTTTTTATTGGCAGTCAATGCTGTAGTACGCACCTTGAGATGAAACCAGTAAATTAGATGTCTCCTTGTCTTATTATTGGTGACGTGTGTCTGATTATGGCCATTTTGAAGACCCATCAGGCTGTGACAGGGCTGACTGGTGGATATTGGCAGGTTGATATGCCTTGGAAATAAGCAAAAATTATAGACGAGACACCCACAGCCTTGTCCCCTGGTATTTTCTAAATATCAAGAGGTCAGTGTAATTTCACACCATCCCTATTGGCAAATGAGGTGTGAGTGAAAAATGTAGGTACATGCACCTGTATTGAGTACTGGCAACCATGAGTAAAATCAGATCATGGGTTGTTTTTGGTTGTCGTTGGATAATCGACTCCTAAAGCATGATTTTTTTTGGCGTTTTTTGGGGATTATGAAACTGAGTATAGTGGTTGCCAGTAGGCCAGTAACCAAATTGGATAAGTCCACTTTTAAATATTTGAGAAACAAGCCTATTATTTTATAAACATGCCTATTTCTGGCGTAATTATTGGTGGTCCAGCAGGGTCTTGTAAGACATTCAAGGGTTGCATTAAGTGGAAACTCGAGTGAAGCCATTTTTTCCCCATTATTCTTTTTTCGCAGACCTCTCCATCAACTTCCTTTGTCGAGGCTTCCACTTGCAGACGGAGACATTTTGAGAGCTTTTGGGTGGATTGCCTCAAATCCTCTTCATCCTACCGTCTCTCATGGAGATTCATGATGATACCAATCATACAGCACCAAAGGAACACTGTGTGACATTCACATCCTTTTGTGGGCAGTACATGCCGTTCGCTTGCTTGAGTGACATCAAACTAACGTGAGTTTCGTTGTCTCTAATAAGATTGAAAATTTGAGCAAAAATAAGATTACAGCAATGATGGTATGGCTACAAAAGGACACAAAGAGAACATCTACAGATATATGCCACGCCAGTGAGCGAATAATGACAGTACTGCAGCTTCCTTTGGTCCACATTTAGCCTGCTGTTCGTGCTTTTAAAACCAGGTTGCTCAATAATGTTATCCAATCGTCTCTGGAGTCTTTTAAGGCTTCTTGGTCAGATCCTGTAGCAATCAAAATTCAGTTACTCAAGGTAACATCCCAACATTTTAGGGTGATCTGTTGGCATGCAACTGTAAAAGATTGTAGTCATTTGGGGGATATACCCTTTATCTCTGAGTAGTGCAGTCATTTCCAGTCACAATAGATGGGATAGGCAAAGAATTTTCAAACCTTTTGCCACAATTTGACCCGCTAAATTTTAATCAACATGTAGCGCCTTACCGATTATGAACAAATAGAGTGCTGGTCAGTAATGTATCAACTGACAAGAGGGATCAACAATGAGGTACAAGCAGTTGTGAGGTCTCTCCATCCAAGTGGTCCCAGAGCAAAGATGCTGGGGATTGTAGAGGAAGAAGAGGGGCATCCTATGAGGGGGCAAACCACCAGTAAAATTTATACTAAAAGGACTTTAGATGTTATCTTGCACATGTGAAAGAAGCGATTAGCTTTTATGCAGATGATAACAAGTTTGTACGTCCCTTAGAGTGGCATTTAAAACTGATAAAAAATGTGTGGTTGATTTGCGATTAATCATGTGTTAATCACGGGCAATCGTGCGATTAATCGCGATTAATTGCATCGTTTTTAATTTGTTCTAAATAAGTACGTTAGTAAGCTTTAAGTGTTTAGCGTAAGGCATATACCACCTTCTCAAACTGCCTTTCAAAGTAAGGCCCAACTTTTTATAAGCAATGATAGGACAACTTGTTTGGTAGATTTGCTGTCTCCTCAAACAGTAATACTTCTCATTGTTATTCATTGTGTTTGAGATTTCACAGAACTTTCCCTTTATATTAAGCCAAACAATCTTTTCTCCACAAAAAAATACCATCCCCATGCCTTCACAATATCAATGACAACCTATTTTATGCTGTGCTGTGTAGCTATATTTCAAATGCATTGGAAAGCCTTGGCCGGGTAGCAAATAGCCGTAATACTGCCATCGCTGGACCGGCCTTTGTGAATGCACGGCAACATTTCCATGCTGAGCACTACTGGGTTCCCCCTCATCAAATATATTACCCCTGCATCCCTCCTCCTTAGCACCACACTGCGCTACCAGCTATTTATAGCACAAACATATTGATCACTCTCTGCACCACCCTCTATCACTCTGTCCAGAGCGAGCACGAAGGAGAGCGAGAGCACTTTACGACCCTCCATGTAAAGTATGTGAGCTCGCATGTGTGTGCATGTGTGTGCGTTTATGGGCCGGGTGGTTGGGGGATTGTCAGCGTTTGTGCACATTTACAGTATGTGTGTATGTGTGAGAGCGGGATGCTCAGGGAGAAGGACTGCCCTGTAATTCAGTTCCAGACAGAGTTAACTCTGATTAAACAGCCTCATGGGGCTATAAAATCCCTGGATATAAAAATAGGAAAAGCTCCTCACCAGTGAGACCGCTTTAAAGCCGGGATATGGAAATAAGCTTCAACAGCCAATAGCGCCTCTCATTGCTTCAGAGACATCACAAAAACACAAAAACAGGCCTTATTAATTTATCATATTCCACTGCAGCCATATAAATAAAGGAGCAGACATCAATGAAACTCATAATGCATACAAGGCCGTCAGGGAAAGCATGTCATTCTGCACTGCCTAGGGAGGAAACCATTATAACAACACGATATGGAACTTTATGCAGCAAATCATTCGTCAGTATCAGCAGACTCTACATTCATATTCAATAGATTCAATACAGCATGTACTCGAAATCTGCCAAAGAGTGCTGCATCCTCGGGATGTATACATTCAACGCTGCAAGTGCACTCTACACATTATTTTTAGCATAAGCATCACACTCATGACATGATCATGATTGACACCTCCCCTTAAGCAACCGTGTAAATCCTTTAGTTTTTGCCAGGTTTGCAGCATTCGACTTCACACGTTTTTCCTGCCTCCACTCGAAGGTTTCGCACCGTATGAGTCAGAGAAGCTGTCAACGCCTGCCACTCAGGGAGAACCATGATAGCAGCGGAGTGTGTTTAAATGTCCAGATGACCACAGAGGTGTGTACACTTGGCTTTTACGACTTTTATTTTAAATTGTTTGTTTGTTTTATTCCAGGTGATTCAGTCTACGCATTCGAGGTCTGATCTTGCACCTGGAGAATAACAGCTTGCGTACAGGTGGGATTGCTATTTTTCCCCCCCCGATGCAGGTGTCGTTTCACGCCAAGCGCCCACGATGTCCAGCGAACGTAGGTCTCGAAATAGTGATCACTTGCATCAATGGGGGGGCTGTTACCTTGAAGCAGCAGGAGACGCATAATTTAAGCCGCAAAAGTAGAGCAGCCTCGGCACACAACTCAGTCATCAGTTTTACGTCAACAGTTGGAGCCGTGTGCGTGTCAACTTAAAGTAGCGTTGAGTCACACTCGTAATAGAAACTGCAGTGACGAAAAGGCTAAAACCCGCGTTTTATCCCAATTGCCCACGGTATCTTGCTGACGTTTGTAGCTACTTGTTTAAGAATCAATTGGCGTGTTGGTCTCAAAATAAAATGTGATACGTTGCGTTGATGTGTTGCTACCTTAAAGCGTCAAAAGACTTATAATTTAAGCCGCAAAAGTAGAGCAACCTCGGTGCACAACTCAGTCGTTAGTTTTACGTCAACAGTTGGAGCTGCAGAGACGAGAAGGCTAAAACTTGCATTATACTCCAATTGCCCACATTGACTCGCTGACGTTCGTAGCTCCATGTTTAAGCATCAATGGGCGTGTTGGTCTCAAAATCAAATATGATTAGATGCGTTGATGTGTTGCTACCATAAAGCAGCAGGAGACTCATAATTTAAGCTGTAAGTTGTTGCCAACTTGTCTTTTCTGGGAGTTCCTGAGCTCAATCACACTGTAGGCTTCTCTAGATCGTAACGTAGGAATCTTTTAAATCTCTTAAAATAAGTTGTGATCAGGTGCATTGCTAAGGTTTGAATTTTTTATGAGATGGCCTATCTCTCTGACTGTCTTAATCTCAATTTCCCACAATATTTACTTTAAGACCTCAAACTGCAAGATAGATAACCCACCAACATTAGAAATCCGTGTTTGCTTCCCCCCTATCTCCAAACGGTAAAGATTAGACCGGAGAAAATGCTTGGATCTACCAGAATCCGACAGAACGTAATAATCCCCTCTGTTTGCTCCCACATCTGTAGCCGTCTCATCAGATT